GTTTCTGGGTCAGATTTGAAAGCATTAAGTGATTGGGCTTTTCACGGCCACAGGAGTTATCCTATCCATGGTGAGCAGGTCTGGGGCACAATTTCAAGGAATATAAAAAAGCATGATGAAACAGATGCTTGCTTGGAGTTTTAAACAATCACTATTGTCAGTAGCCATCCTATCAACATTGAAGTGCAAATATATCTTTGGTTTCTAGCTCTCAGTATTTTGGATTTATAAGAAAAAAGAATTACTGAATAGTATAATAATAAGGCTTAAGAGTGGGGGACTACCATACAGCTCTCCAAAACTGCTATGCCATTTTATTACCAGCAACACACATTTCCTTACCTTTTTATTGTTTCTGTTTCTTAGTTTTCATTTTGTAATGTGTGGGGGTGGGCACATGTGAGCTCCAGGGATCAAACTCAGGTCATCATCCTTGGCAGCAACTGCTTTTATCCATTGGGCCATCTTGCCAGCCCCTTTTCTTTTTACCCCCCACCCACTGTTGATAATAGCCATCATCAATGGAGTAAAATGATATCTCATTTGCATGTGCTGCACACATAAGATACGGTACATCCCTCTCACTGTGATTTGATTTATTTCCTGTTTAGCGACTTGACCATCTTGTGTTGTACTTGTTGCTCATTTGTATACCTGTTGAAATTCTTTAAGCCCTTTTTATATATTTGAGGTTTATTCTTACTCTTGAATTCAGAGGTTTTGCATGAGGGTATGTGTGTGTCTCAGGCTGATCTCAAACTTTATCTGACTAAAATTAATTTTAAAAATTAGTATACAAGGCAGCAAGAAGGAACTCACTATATGGATCTGCCTGCCTCTGCCTCCCAAGTGTTGGTATTAAAGGCATGTGCCACCATACCTGGCCCACTTGTGTCTTAATTTTGATTTAATAGATTATAATATTTTAGACATTTTCTTTTGTATGGTCATTGATTCTAATAGTTTTTTTTTAATGAGACTGGGTTTCTCTGTATTGTTTTGGAGGCTATTGGTCCAGCCCGGCCTCGAACTCACAGAGATCCGCCTGCCTCTGCCTCCTGAGTGCTGGGATTAAAGGTGTGCACCACCACGGCCCGGCTCTAATAGGTTTTTATATCTGGATTCTTTTGATTCTAGTGCTATTATAATAGTTTGCTTTCTCCTCTCTGAGTAGTACTGGGGTGACCCCTAAAGAGAAGGCTGCTCACTAAGAAGACCTCCAAATAAAACTAGAAGAGCTATCCATCCAACCATGTGTGTGAACCACAGCTTAGGAACACAAGAAACACAGGCAGATCTATAGCGAGTTCCAGGATAGCCAGGGCTACATAGAGAAACCTTACCTCAAACAAAACAAAACAACAAAAAAAACCAAGGCAACATGACTCTTCCTGAAGATCACTACTCTTCAATTACTGACTCCAAACATAATAAAATGGCTGAAATACTAGACAAAGAATTCAGAAGTCTAGGTTTTTAAAGGTTTGTGTGGTTTTTATTTTGGTTTTTGCTTTAACTTTTTTTCCTTATACATCTCTGCGTGTGCATTTGTCAGGAGTATTCATGGAAGCCAGAGAACAATGTGTGGAGGTCGGTCCTCTCCTTCCACCAGGTGCACTCTGGAGATTGGACGCAGGTCTCCTGGATTGGCACTAAGCACCTATACTTGATGAGCTCTCTCACAAGTCCTGATAAGTCATAAAAATGACCAATAGCCAGTCAGGCGGTAGTGGCACATGTCTTTAATCTCAGCACTCGGAGACAGAGGCAGGCTGACCTCTGTGAGTTTGAGGACAGCCTGGTCTAAAGAGAGAGTTTCCAGGACAGCCAGGGCTACAAAAAATTAATTACCTCAAAGAGAATTAAAAAATAGCCGAGGGGCCGGGCGTTGGTGGCGCACGCCTTTAATCCCAGCACTTGGGAGGCAGAGGCAGGTGGATCTCTGTGAGTTCGAGACCAGCCTGGTCTACAAGAGCTAGTTCCAGGACAGCCTCCAAAGCCACAGAGAAACCCTGTCTCGAAAAACCAAAAAAAAAAAAAAAAAAAAATTAGCCGAGGGGCTAAAGTGATGGCTCAGCAGTTAAGAGCACTGACTGTTCTTCCAGAGGTCATAAATTCAATTCCCAGCAACCACATGGTGGTTCACAAACATCTATGATGAGATCTGGTGCCCTCTTCTGGTATTCAGGCAGACATGCAGAACACTTTATATAAAATATAAATAAATAAAAATGTAAAAAATAGCTGATAAAATAAGTAAGAAGTCAGCTCAGGAATTGTACAAGAAAGTTGGCATGAAAAATTCAGCAAGGAAGCTGGGTATGATGGGGAGTCCTTTAATGCCAGTACTTGGGATGCAAAGGCAGGTAGATTACGGAGTGAGTCCCAGGACAGCCCAGGGCTACATAGAAAAACCCTGTCTTGAAAAACAAAACTGTAGAGTGATGCCTTTTTCTTGTCAGCCACTTTGGTTCTTCCCCACCAGTCGCCTGGGCTCTACCGCGTTGTAGTCCCCAAATAACACACAAGACTCTGTATTAATTATGAAGCTGTTGGCCTTGCTTTTTTCTTACTTTCTAGCTCTGACTTAAGTATTTATCTGATAATTGTTCATCTAAGTATTTCTCTTACCGGAGAAAAGTTCCAGACATCTTACTTCTCTGGCAGGCTACATTTGTGACTCTCTGTGTTTCTCCTTCCCAGAGTCCTCCTGGACTCCTAGTCCCACCTATCTTGCTTCCCTATTGGCCAACAGTGCTTTATTGACACAGGACTTCCCCATCTTCTCTTTTCTGTCTAAATAAAAAGAAAGGTCTTAACTTTAACATAGTCAAATTATATATAACAGAACAGTTATCAAGTAAGAACACAGTTAAAACATTTTGTCTATCAACATTTAGCAAGATTTAAAGAAAATATCTATCCCATCCTTGTGAGTCCAAAGTTCTATATGTAGCTTATCTTTTATCATAACTAAGGAAAACTATAATTATAACTATCTGTCTTCAACTCCATCAAAGACCACAGAAGGATAATATATAAACACTAGGATTGACAGAGACATCTTGCTACCTGGACAGTCACCCAAAGTTCCTCTGTAATGTTGGGGCATCCATCTTCAGCCCATAGGCCACAGTGTGTCTGGAAGACTTCTCAGCAAAGCAGGAAATTTCAAACTGTCCATCTGCATCAGCAGTCTGTCAGTCTCCTGCTAAACAGAGACTGATCTACTGAAGATTTTGTTACATTAACATTTTTCTTCTCACAGGTCCCATCTCAGCAGGAAGTAGTTTTGAGAATTCCATGCCCTCTCTCCCTACTATTGATATTATAGGATAGTTCACACCTGTTAGTGTTAGTTTTCAATTATTTTAGAGTTGGGATTGGAAAGATGTGTTCAGACTTGGGTGTTTCTTTCAGATAAGTTTAGGTTTAGATGGGATAGATGTTTGATACATTTTGTTCATTGACACAAGTTAGTTGTTTTAAGTTTAAATATCCTTTTTAGACTAAAAGGGGAATTGTAGGAGGAAACAGTGCTCTGCCATTAACCATGTGACTTATTAGAGGCACATACAGATGAGGTAATAAAAGGGCGGTTCACCACACCGCTAACCACACCCACTTTAGGCATGACTAAAGACATATAGGGACGTAGGTGGTGAACCCTTGGGCCTGGCTAGGGGCATTACGGAGGAAGGTATAAAAGACTGAACAGCGGAAGTCTCACTCTCTTTTCCAGCATTCTGGTTTCCAGTTCGGTGGTGGAAAACTACTCAGTTCATTGGGGTTACTTGTTTGTCTCTTGTGAGTAATTTCTACAATACTTACTTATTTTTCAGTAAGTGTGCCATTTATCGTTGCAGCATCACAAAATAAAACAAATCAGCAAAGAATTTGAGATTGTGAAGAAAAGAGAAATATTAGAAACAAAATCTCAGTAAATCAAACAAGAACAAAGCATAGTGGAAAACATTACTAAATGTATCAAAAGAATAAGTTATTGAAGAATAAAAGTTGAGGAAAAGTCATATCCAGATATCAGGAAAGAAAAAAGGAGTGAATACAATTTTCAAGAACTCTTGGAGATGAAAAAAAAGACAACATGTGAGAAACTTAGGGAAAAGCAGAGTTAAAATAAAAACTAATAGCACAGAAAACATACTCAGTCAAATATCAGAAAAATTCCCCATCTAGAGAAAGATGTGGACAGCCACACACAAGAGACTTCCATACCCCTGAGAGATACCAGCAGGAAGAGTCTTTCCGCAGGCTGGTGAGATGGTCACCCTTATGCAAGCTTTCTACCAAGGCTAGCGACTGGAGTTCAGTCTCTGGGACACACATGATAGGAGGAGAGAACAGACTTACACAGTTGTCCCCTGACTGCCATATGCACACGAAAGTATGTCCATGTCCGCAAACATCAATCGGTGTAATAAAATAGGTTTGGAAACACAGCTCAGCGGTTAAGACAGCACGATGCTTTTGCAGAGAATCTAAATTTAGTTCCCAGCAACCATTATCTAGCAGCTCACAACCACCTGTAACTCCAGCACCAGGGAACTAAAGACCTTCTTCTGGCCTTCACAGGCAACCAAACTTATGTGTACATGCCCACACAGAGACATAAAAAAATCAGTTGGGCATGAAGGTGCATACTTTTTATCCCAGTTCTCAGCAGGGAGACATGCAGATCAAAAGCAAGTTCCAGGACAGCCAGGGCTACATACCTTATCTCAAAGCAAATGGAAAAAAGTATAAAGGGGAAATGTGATTTGAAGTATTTATTATACTCCTTAAATTCATGAGGCTTCCTACAACTTGAATATTTTCATGTAGTTGAATTGAAATAAGTGAAAGGTTTTCCCACATTGCTTAGATGTTTTTCTCAAAGGTTTCACATATGAATATTAAGGCTTTTCTCCATTCCATATATATTGTGTTATATACATATTAAAACATATATGTATATGCTATAAGCATTTGTGGGCTACAGAAATGGCTTAGCAGTTATGCAGTTTCCCATTACCACAAATTATACAGTCAAGTTTCCCTTATTTTGGGAAAATGCAGGGGCCAAAACATTTGGAGTACAACAAATAGGCCATGTCCTGTGAAAACTACCTTTATGATCACAGTAGCTTCCATGCCAGCTACTATGTTTTTGAGACAGTACCTTAGTTACTGGTCTGTTGCTGTGACACCATGACCAAGGCAACCCTTATTTTAAAAAGCAGCCCCGGCAACATTTACTGGAGGCTTCCTTACAGTTTCAGGGTCAGTCCGTTATTTTTGTAAGAAGCAGACAGGTGTGATGCTGGAGCAGTGGCTGCGAGCTCCACATCCTGATCTGCAGGCACAGGCAGCAAGAGAAAGACTGGGCCTGGCTTGGGCTTTTGAAACCTCAAAGCTCACCTCCAGTGACACCTCCTCCAATAAGGCCACACCTCTAACCTTCCCAAACAGTTCCACTAGTTGGGGACCAAGCATTCAAACATAAGCCCTTCTCATTCAAACCACCACAAACCGGATCTCAACCCTGGCCAGCCTCAAACTTACTATGTCAAGGGTAATTTTGAACTCTTGCTTCTTCCTCCTGAGTACTAGGATTACAAGCATGTTTTTTGTTTTTGTTTTGAGATGGGTTCTCATGGCACCCAAGATGGCCTCAAACTCACTATGTAAGCAATACTGGTCTTGAATTCCTGATCATTCTGGCCTCATGCCCCCAAGTGTTAGCACTAGGTTAGTGAACCATTATTTTCATGCTATTTGTCTTTTTAAAATTGATTCAGCGGGGTGGTGGGGGCACAGACCTCTAATCCAAGCAATGGGGAGGCAGAAGCAGGTGGATCTCAGAGCTCATGGACAACCTGATCTATAGATCAAGGGCTACATGGAGAAACTCTTGCCTTAAAAAAAAAACCCAAACCAAAACCAAAACCAATTTACTTATTATTTTATTGCATGAGTGTTTTACCTACATGTACTTATGTGCAACACATGACTGACACCCTCAAGAGCCTGAAAAGAGCATCAGATGAGCAGGACCTGGAATTACAGACATGATTGTAAGCCACCATGTGGGCACTAGGAACCAAATACTATGTCCTCTAAAAGATTAACAAGTGCTCTTAACCCCTAAGCCATCATTTTATCCCCAGCCCTTGATTGGACGTTTAAAGATTGGATATTGAAAACAAATGTGGAAAGAAAGAGGAAGGGGGGGAGGAGCAGGCAAGATCTTGCTGAATAGTTGAATAGCACAGGTCTTAAACTCAATCCTATTCCCACCTCTCAAATTTTAGGACTGTACAAACCGGGGCCACTGCACTCAGACCTGCATGTAACTAAAGCGTTTGGTAGTCTAAAGGTTTATTTGTATAGATTATTATCTATATTTGTTAGAGCTGATGCAACTAAGTAACAGCCCAGGTAGCTTAAAAATGGTTATTTATTTCTTACAATTTGGAGGCTGGAAATCAAGATCAGTATAACTCAGGCAGTTTCCTGTGGAGGCCATAGTAGAAACACTTGTGGCAGCCATCTGTCTCTATTTGTAGAAAGCCATTTGAAGATTTCCCACGTTTCTTTGCATGCATCCTGCTGCACCTTAGCCTTCTGAGGACATGAGTCACTCTGCTCTAATGGACTCATTGCAACTTCCTTTGTTTTAGCTTTATGTGTGTACGTGTTTTGCCTGCACATGTGCACTCTAGATGTGCTGAGTGCTCACAGAGGCCAGAAGAGGGTATCAGATCCCCTGCAACTAGAGTTATGATGTTGTGAGTTGCCATGTGAGTGCTGGGAACTGAACCCATGTCCTCTGCGAGAGGAACAGGTGCTTGTAACTGTTTGAGCCATCTCTACAGTCCCTCATTTTAATGTGAAAAATGTATTATTATTGGGGGCTGGCTAGAGGGCATTTGTGCCACAGCATTCACATGGAAGTCACAGACAGGACACCTTTAAGTGTCAATTCTCTCCTACACTGTGGGGCCCTAGGGATAGAATGCAAATTGTCAGTATTGTATAGAGAATGCTTTTATCTGCTGAGCCATCTCAACAGCCATCATTTCAGTCCTTTAAGATTTTATTACTGTGGCGTATATGGGAAAGTGGACAAATATATGGATGTCAGTGGGCAACTTCAAGGCATTGCTTCTTCTACCTTGTCGAGGCAGGGCAGGGTCTCTCTTGTTCTTTCTGCCATGCTGCACATTCCAGGATAGCTGGCCTGCAAGCTTCCAGGTGATTCTCCTGCCTCTGTCTCCTGTCTTGTAGGATTGCTGAGAATACAGATGCATGCCACTATATCTGTCTACTTCACATGGTTGTGGATCTATTCAAGTTTTAAGACATTCACAGCAAGTGCTTTTATCCACTGAGCCAACTTGCCAGCATTCACTTTAACTTTTTGACATGGAATATTTGTGCTGTCCAATATGGCTTTACATTTATCACCCACCTTCAGCCTCCTGAGCATCTACCACACAGCACTGCTCCAAGCTATGTATATAATTGTAATAGTTTCTCCCGAGTGTGAGTACCATCATGTCTTCAAAGTCAACTAGAGCAAGTAATTGCTTTCTCACACAGCTAACATCAATTAAGCTTTTCACTAGTGAGTTCTTTCATGTCTTCGAAGTGAACGAGGATGACTGTAGGCTTTTCCACACTGCTGACACTTATATGGTTTTTCTTCTGTGTGAGTGTGACTTATTTCATGAATTCTGAAGGAACTGGGACAGATGAAGGCTTTCCCACACTCCTTACATTCATAGGGCTTCTCTCCAGTGTGGGTTCTTTCATGGATCTGAAAGGAAGTGGAATGACTGAAGGCTTTTCCACACTGCTTACACTCATAGGGTTTCTCTCCAGTATGGATTCGCATGTGAATTTTAAGGTGAGTGGAATAGTTAAAGGCCTTCCCACATTCCTTACACGTGTATGATTTTTTGGCATTGTGAGTTCTCATGTGATTATTAAGACATGAAGGATAACCAAATGCTTTCCCACAAATTTTGCACTCACATGTCTTCTCTTCAGCATGCATTTTCAAATGGCCATTAAGATTTGAAGAGATAGCAAAGGCTTTCCCACATTTGACACAGACAAAAGGCTTTTCTCCTGTGTGAGTTCTTATATGTTGAATAAGTCGTGAGGATGTAAGGAAGGCTTTCCCACATTCCTTACATTCATAGGGCTTGTCACCATTGTGAGATCTTACATGTATACTAAGACCTGAGTACTGAGTGAAGGCTTTCCCACACTGATTGCATACATAGGGCTTCTCTCCAGTGTGAGTTCTTCCATGGATCTGAAATGAATTGGAATAATTGAAGGCTTTCCCACACTCCTTACATTCATAGGGCTTCTCACCAGTATGAGTTCGCATGTGAATATTTAAATATGCAGGGTATCTGTAGCCCTTCCCACATTCCTTACATCTGTAAGGTTTCTTTGCATTGAGAGTTTCTATAAGAACAGCAAGTCTTGAGTTTACAAAACTTCTCCCATATTCATTCCAATCATAAAGTTTGTCTCCATTGTGAGTTCTTCTTCTATGTATCTGAAGGTGTGACTGATTAATAAAAGACTTTCCATAGTCACTGCATTCCAAAGAGTTCTCTTGTGTAGCAATTTTCTGATTGACCTTCACTGGGATCATACAGGTTTCTTCACTCTGACTGAACTCAGAAAGTTTCTCACCAGCACACTTTTTCTTCTGAACCACTGGAAAGTCTTTTCTATACTGACTACAATCATAATTATCCTGTGTAGTGTGAGTTTTCTTATATGTCTTAAGGGATGAGAGTTCACTGATGAAGTCTCCAGATTTTGTCCAGTTAAAGAGCTCCCTTACATTCTGGCTTCCTGTCTGCAGGTAAGAGGGAAGAACAAAAGAACAGCATTTGTTTTCCTTTGCAGCCAATTGGTAAGGTTATAACCATTTGATAACAAAACAAAAATAATTATGATTATTTGTCACTACATGTGAATGAACTATATAGTTCATACTTTGTTAACTGCTCACAAGTGGTGTGATTAAACACTTACTCCAGTATGCTGTGTCATCTGGCCTAAACTTTAAAAGATTTCTATACCATTCCAAGAAAAAGATGTATTTGTATGAGTTCTGAAGCAGTGAGTTTCATTACATATTGGGGGCACAACTTCATATTATTTCTTCAGACATTTGTTCTTGGGTATTATCTGCTTCTCGCAAACCTCCTTTAATGAAATTACTAGTTTTCTCCCTCAAAGGGCTTTAAGTCTCGAATTTTCTTTGAGAATAAAAATAAGGTTTTTTTTTTTTATTCTTACCATTTGCATCCCATTGAATATGTTACCCTTCAAAAATTTCTGCTGGAATGTTGAACATTTGGTTTCAAGTTGCATTTTCCATTCTGAAATAAAATGGAAAAATAAAGGTAAGAGTTTAGAGGAAGAAATGGAAAACGGGAGTTGAAAAACAAGGCTTGAGCTAGAGAGATGGATCAGTGGTTAAGAGCACTGACTGCTCTTCCAGAGGACCCAGGTTCAATTTCCAGCACCCACATGGCAGCTCACAACTGTCTATACCTTCAAGACCTGATCCCTCACACAGACATCCATGCAGGCAAAATACCAATGAAAATAAAATAAATTTTTAAAAAAATTTTTTTAAAAATAAGGATTTTTTATTTTGAATTTTAAAAGGTATAAGAAAGTAGAAACAGATGAGGATTTTTTTTCTGTTCTATTTGTGAGACTAAGTAGCCAAGCCTTGATCTCACTACACAGTCCTCACTGTGCTGACTTTATAACCATTCTGCCTCAGCTTCCTGAGAAGAATTACAAGATTGTGCCATCATGCCAGGCAAAGATAATGACACTGGATCAAGCTTTTAGATAGTATTAAAAGTTGATTCTATAAAATTAAAACTAATGTTAAGCAGAAATTATCAGGGAAAGAGAGCAGAAAATTTCTAGAAAAAGAGCATTTCTCAAAGCAATAAGTTTAAGTAAACTAAAAGAATATTGGAAGTTGAAGATTTTCCTTCTTGCTTCAGAGTTCTGAGACAAATTTTATCTTGAACAACTTCCTTACAGGAGCTGGACTTTTTAAATGGGTAAAGTGCTTACTGTACAAGTTCAGATCCCCAAAACTCACATAAGGCTTAGCATGATAGCATGTGTCTGTAATTCCAATGCATTTATGACAAGATGGGAGATGGAGACAGGAATATCCTGAGGGCTGCTGGCCTACCACATGGTAAACAAAGACACTGTCAAACGAAGTAGAAGGTGAGGACAGACACAAAAGGTTGCTCTCTGACGCCAAAATACATATTATGGCAACCGACATATATATATACACATCATACAAAAATATACAAGGATTTCAGAGTTTTTAAAAAATATTCATTATCATTCATTCACTTACTGTGTGTGTGCACGCACATATACATGTGTCACAGCATGCATGTAGAGGTCAGGGAACTTTGGGTGTTGGTTCTCTCTTTCCACCAAGTGGGCTCCAGGGACTGAACTCAAATTGCCATGCTTGGCTGCATATGCCTTTACCTACTGAGCCATCTCTCCCAGTCCAACACAAGGGTTTTGTTTTTAAGTTTATTTCAGTTATAAACATAATAAACTTTCATTAAATAGAATTTGCAAGCCCAGAGATGGTGGTGCATGCCTTTAATCCCAGAACTAGAAGCAGAAGCAGGTGGATCTCCATGAGTTCAAGGCCAGTCTGATTTACAGAGTGAATTTCAGGACAGCCAGGGCTACACAAAGAAACCTTGTTGGGGAGGGGGGGATATTTCCATGAATACTGACCTGGGAAAACTATCTTCTGACCTGTACTAAACTCTTCTTGTTCCAACCAAGAGACCAGACTGGGTTTGATGAGCTGATATCCTGTTCACAAGGTGAGACACATTGGTGAGAAGGCTTAGACAGAAAAATGACAGAACTTCCCAGGGTTCAAGAATTAGAATTTTTGCTTTTTTTTTTTCCCCTTGTTTTGCCTACTTAGCCTGTGGCTAGCTTCAAGTTCAGCCTCCCAATGTTCGAATTCCAGATGTGTGCCACCAAACCTGGCCGGGAACTAGAGTTGTAATGACAACAGATAAATTATTTTTAAGTAGCTAGTAAGTACCACCTGTCTATGCCTCAAAAGTTTAGTTTACTCTGGAGCATAAGACCCCAATTAATTTAGTCATACATATATTTACGAAGCACTGAGTTTTCTGGGCCCTGTAAGTGAGTCCTATCCTGATCCAGGACTTTACTCTTATTCAAACAGAAGTAAGAACTGCAACAGCCAGAATGGGGGTGTGATGCACACCTTTAATTCCAGCACTCGGGAGGCAGAGGTAAGTGGATATCTGAGTTCAAGGCCAGCCTGGTCTACAGAGTGAGTTCCAGGATAGCCAGGGCTACAAGAGAAACCTGTCTAAAAACAAAAAACCAAAAGAGAGAGAGAGAGAGAGAGAGAGAGAGAGAGAGAGAGAGAGAGAGAGAGAGAGAGAGAGAGAGAGAGAGAGAGAGAGAGAGAGAGAACTACAACAAAAACTCTTTGTTCCTCTAGGGAAATTAACGACAAGTAGTTCATATATAGTCACAATCATCACAGTCATCAAGATAATCAAACTTTCTACTTATTACGTTGTGTGTGTATAAGTGTTCATATATGTGGGTGTGCTTCTGTATATGTGGTGGTTAACATCACACCTGATCTTTGAGAGCTGGGGATCTAACTCAGGTCCTCTTGCTTGAGTAGTAACCACCTTACTTACTGAGTCATCTCCCAACCCCTTCCTTAATTAAATATATGGATTTGTGGGTATGTATGTGTGTGGTATATGTGTATGTGGTATATGCACACATGCGTGTAGGTGTGCACACTTGTGCCCACATGCAAAGAACAAAGGAGGGTGCCGGGTGCCATTCTCTAGCATTCTGTCTTACTTCTTTAATGCAGTCTCTTCTGGAACCTTGGCTTCTGTTTTACCAGCTAGACTGGCAGTCAGTAAGCCTCTGTGATCTTCATTCAAATCTCCCCTCAATTCCACACTAGGGTTATAGATGCATTCAAGACCACAACCAGGTTGTTACTGGGATCTTCACCCCAGGTCCTCAGCAAGGTATCTTCTTTTTTTTTTTTTTTTTTTTTTTGGTTTTTCGAGACAGGGTTTCTCTGTATTGTTTTGGAGGCTGTCCTGGAACTCGCTTTGTAGACTAGGATGGCCTCGAACTCACAGAGATCCGCCTGCCTCTGCCTCCCGAGTGCTGGGATTAAACGTGTGTGCCACCAACGCCCAGCCCCTCAGCAAGGTATCTTAACCACTGAGACATCTCAAGACTCCAAGAGAACTCACTGACACACAAATGATAAAAGTTTTACAATGAGGTTTCTAATTTAGCCTATCAACATGGAGAGGGAAAACATACTTTCTTTTTGGGGTGGGGGGGACGGGGTTCAAGATGGGGTTTCTCTGTGTAGTATGGTTGTCCTGGAATTCACTCTGTAGACCAGGATGGCCTCGAACTCAGATCTGCCAGCCTCTGTCGCCTGAGTGCTAGGACTAAAGGCATGTGCTACCACTACCTAGAAAAAATTTTAGAGACCTTAGACTTTTTGAGAATGACCCCAGTACATTAAAACATATTTAGAGTGTTATACACCTTTAATCTCAGCATTCAGAAGGCAGAGGCAAGGGTCTGTGAGTTTAAGGTCAGTTTGTTTTACCTACTGTAGCCTACCTACTGTGGCCAGGTTCTTGTAGTTCTCCAGCATCACATCTCTGTAGAGGCATCTCTGGGCTGGGTTCAGGGAGGTCCACTCCTCTTGGGTAAAGTCCACAGTCACATCCTTAAAGCTCACTAAGTCCTGAAATATTGCAGACATGCTGGTTTTAGCCAAATGAGATCTTTGTTAATGAACATGAAAGGATAAGGAAGTGGGATGAGCCTACAGAAAACTCCCTAGCCTCCAATTATCTAACACCAAGGTCAAGTGGCTTTATAAACTCCTCTTTAAACTCATGTGTACACGTGTGCACGTGTGTACACATGTATACTGAAAGGTATACTTGCCTCTGCAAGTTCATGTGAAGGCCAAACCTTATTTTCTGACAGAGTTTTTCATTAAACCTAGAAATTGCAGTTTCAGCGACACTGGCTGATCTACCGTCTCCACCCCCAATCCTGAAATTATAGACATGCCAAGTTTTACATGGGTGCTGGGGATCAAAACTCAGGTCGCTGTAGTTGTACACAAGCCCTTTACCATTGAGCCATCTCCTCAGGACCCTCCCCACCTTTTTGCCTTGCTAGAGATGGAACCCAGAACCCTGACTGAACATGCTAAGGAGAACTCTACCACTGAGCTCCATCCTCAGCCCTAGCCTCACTCTCTTACTTTCCTCAAGTTACATAGCACTGCTGAACAGGAACTGGTACCAGCAGCACACAGAAAATATCACGGTATTCTCTGTATGATGCACAGTGGTCAGCATTTCCTATAAATGTGATGGATGTGCGACATGAATAAATGTCTGTAGAAAAGGAGACTGTCATCTGCCAGAGAAGTCAACAACAGAAGAAACATTCAGTTGACCAAGGGCCAGCAAGATGGCTCTGTGGGTAGTTACTTGCTACCAAGCCTGATGACCTGAGTGTGATCCTCAGACACACATGATGTAAGGTGAGAATTGACTTCGGCAAGTTGCCCTCTAAATCATATAAACATTTGCATCTACACATGAGCACTTGCATGCCCAGCCACACACAGATGTAATAATAAAAGAAATATGAGGCTGGGCGGTGGTGGCGCACGCCTTTGATCCCAGCACTCGGGAGGCAGAGCCAGGCAGACCTCTGTGAGTTTGAGATCAGCCTGGTCTACAAGAGCTAGTTCCAGGACAGACTCCAAACCCACAGAGAAACTCTATCTCAAAAAACCAAAAAAGAAATATGAGTTGACACCATGAAGATAAAGCCAGGTTATTACTGAAAAATCAGGACTATCTGTAAGCTTCCAAGTCACTTAACAGGAGAGGTTTTGTTGTAAGTCACTGTCAACTTGACACAAACCTAGACATAGCTGGGAATGGGGAGTCTCAGTTGAGGGACTGCCTTCATCAGAGTGGTGTGTGGGGCATTCTTGATTTCTATTGAAGAAGCAAATTTCAACACACTATAGGTGGTACCATTCCTGGGCAAGTAAGTCTAGGAAGGTAGCTGAGCAAGCCAGGGGCATGAGCCAGTACACAGATTGCACCATTGGTCTCTACATCAGTTCCTGCCTCAAGTTCCAGCCTTGGCTTCCCTCAGTGCTTGATCATGATCTGAGAATTGTAAACTGAAACGAATCCATTTTCCCTCCAAGTTGCTTTTGGTCCTGGTGATTATCAAGGCAACAGAAGGCAAAGTATGATAGGCTCCATCTCTCAGGAAACTGTAACAGGGAACTAGATGCTTAGATGAGGCTTCAAACAGCTCTAGAGATAAGTTTGTCCAGAGGAAACTGTCTACAGATAGAGCATTTTCAATGTGTGTGTGTGTATGTATTTTTTTTTACCTGATAATTTGTCAAGCGGTTAGTCAACATCCTTTCTGCTGATACTTTTTCTTCTTGAAGGCAAACTGAATCCCCTGAAAGATCTTATGGAAAAGGAAGCAGGTATGAATACTCAGTTGTCCATAATTTCATTCTCAGGCATAGAAGTCACTCCACCCTACTACAAAGCCTTATGTAACCAATAACTACATAGTGATGTCTCCCTCCCTCCTATCCTCCATCCTCCTTCTTATTCTGTATCTCTCAATATGTTTCTCCCTTTCCTTCCTCTCTCCCTCACTTGTTCCCAAACACACACACACACACACACACACACACACACACACACACACACACACAGAGTGCTCTTCCCCACCTTATGTGCCATAGAATGCTAGAGTAGTCCTGTCCCATCTACAACCTGAAAGAAGGATGGCAAGGGATGCTGCTTATTAGAATAACTCTATTAATAACAGCCCCATTTCACAAGTAAGGAAGCTTTATGCCCTGAACATGCTACTTTATCAGTGCTGGAGCTAGAGCTCAGTCAGTACAGTACCTGCCTAGCACATGTGAAGCCCCAGGTTCCATCTTAGCATAAAATGGGCATGATGGTGCATACCTGTCATCCCAGCTAATAGGTGGAAGCCAAAGGATCAGAAATTTAAGGCCATCATAAGTTACCTAGCAATTAAAGGCTACATGGGCTTTCAAGGTGCCCTATCTCAAAAAAGAAAAATGTTGGGGGATGGAAAGATGGTTCAATGGCTAATAGCACTGGCATCTCTTCTAGAGGACCCAGGTTCAATTCCCAACATCCACATGGCAGCTCACAACTGTCCAGTCCAGGAGATTTGACACCCTCTTCTGGGCTTCATGGGCACTGCACACACATGATGCATAAACAAATACTAGACATACATATAAAAATAAAATCTAAAACAAAAAATGGTACTTTGTCATGATTATAAAATTTACAATGAAGACTGCACCTTTTCCCTTATAACACACTCCAGAGACATTACAGATATCCCTTTGAGTCAGCAAGTGGTAAAGGCTCTTGTTACCAAGCATGTCAACCTGAGTTCAATTCCAAAAGATCCACATGGTAGGAGAGCACTGAGTCCTAAAAGTTGTATACACATATAAACACACACACACACACACACACACACACACACACACACACACACACACACACACACACACACACACAAAGAAAAAACACAAAAATAAAGACAAAATCCTCAGAGCACATTTCAAGTACTAGATCCTTGGTTGGAAACACTTGAATCATGTAATTATGCCCTCTCCTCTTCACTGGCACAGGACCAAGGCAAACTCAGAATCTGCACAGCTGTTACCTACCAAGTATCTTCTCAAAGCATTACCGCTTGCTCTTAAAGCAATATCTCATGTACATTAGTGTTTTGTTTGCACATATGTCTAGGTACCAAGTGTGTACCTAATGTCTGCAAAGGTCAGAAGAAGACATCTGATCCCCTGGAACTGGAGTTAGACAGTTGTGAGCCACCACTTGGGTGCTGGAAGCTCTTCGCAAGGGCCACAGGTTGAGCCATCTCTGCAGTCCTGAGAATTACCTTTTTCAAGTATATAAATAATCAGCAACTTAAGCTATTCCGGTTCAGAACACAGTGCTAGAAGTTCCTAGGATAACCTTAGGAATTCTCCTGAGAAACAATCAGAAGACCTTACCATGGGACGAATCAGTCGCTGCCATCCTGTAACAGGGAAGTGTGTACAGATAGTCCTTTCATGGGGCTATCATCACTTTAGTGCAGCTGGTGAGTTTCAGTAGACAGTGGCACTCTCCATTACCTGCTGTACACAACCATTAGCACTCCTGTAATACCAATCACTAATTAACATGAATTACTTAGTCATTATCTGTCAATCATCATACATTAGCTATATGCAGGAAGTACACATGAAGATCACTAAACACAGTACTCTGAAATGTGAATTCTAGTGATACTAGCTGCCATTTACTGAGGAATGCTATGTATCACACTGTGCAAGGAGTGTGTGTGTGTATGTGCAGACACATGTGCAAGCATGTGTTTAATTAATCATTATAACCAACCTTCATAGTAAATACAACTGCCCTAAAAAGATCTACATTCAAAGCCAAGTACAGTGGTACACGACTGTAATGCCAGTGCTGTGGAACAATCTTTTTGTACACTGTGAATATTTGTTGCTCTCGCTGGCTTAATAAAGGGCTAAGTGGCCAATATCTAGGCAGGTTAGGTGGGACTTATGGACGAAAAGAGTATGGGGATGGAGAAGGGTAGAGTTGCCAGCCAGAAACAGAAGTAGAAGATGAACACGCCGTGCTTAAAAAAAAAAAAGGTGCCATCACATGGTAGAGAATACATAAGAAATGTGGGTTTACTTGTAAGAGCTAGTTAGTAACAAGCCTAAGCTATTGGTGGATCATTTATAATTAAAAATAAATTGTTTGGTTATTTGACAACAGGCTGCTGGGACAGAAAATTCTGCCTACATGCCAGCCCTTGGGAGGCTGAGTCTAAGCTAGCCCAGGAAACAAAACAAAACCTTGCCTCAAAAAGACAGGGAGCTGGCAAAATGTCTAAGCAGGTAAAGGCACTTGCCTCCAGGCAGTATAAGCTTGACAGCTTGAGTTTGCTCTCCAGGACCAATGTAAAGGTGGAAGGCAAGAACCAACTCTACAAACTGTCTTCTGACTTATACTCATTAAATGACATGTGCACCCTTGTCCCCACATCAGACATTACATACACACACAGAGAAAAAAATCACAAAATTTAAAACACAACAAAACAGGAAAGGATTTATATTCAGAGAGCATTTGTGATTGCTCATTTATCACCCAGTTTAGAAATGATGATGCAGGACTTGAAGACTGATAAAGACTTCTTTCATTAGTATGCAAAGTTGCTCTCATTTTAACAAGTGGTAAAATTATAGGTACAATGAGCAGATGGTTATTTCCTTGTGTGCATGTTTTCTGTCTATGTAGAGGTTAGAAGGTGTCTGGTACTCTTCCCTATCTTTATCCACCAATTCATTTAAGGCGGGTCTCTCCCTGAACCTGGAGCTCACATTTTCTCAGCTATGCTGAAAGCCTAGATCCTGTTTTGACATATGAGTGCTCAGATCCAAAGCAAATATTCTTAAACACTGAGCCATTTTTATGATCCCAAAATAATTCTTTGGATTTCAGGTAGATTTTTGATGGTAGCGGTATTTGAAGGTGTGGGAGATGGAACTCAGGATCTCATGCAGGGTAGACAAGAGTTCTACCACTGGCCAGTGTTAAATGTAAGAATGTGATTTAAACAGTAAGCAACCTCAGCAAGTCTTGGTAGGAAATGCTGAACTCAAAAGACACGCCTTCTCCTCTTGCACAGGGAAGGCTAGAGCAAAGTCAGCCCTGTTTAATACCTATTTTATGGGTCTTTTCAGAGAACCATCTTTTAGCAAATTTTCATTTTAGGGTTTGTTTGCTTGCCTGAAAACAAGATCTCACTATATAGCTTAGGTTAGCCTCCAACTCACAGAAATCCTCCCACTCAGTCTCTTAAATCCTAAGATTACAAGCAAGTACCACCAGCATTTCTTCCTTAAGTAAATAGTGTTTCATTTTTTTCAATAGTTTGGTTTTATTTCTTTCTCAGTTTTTTTTCCTCCTGAGACAGGTCTCTTCAGTTCAAATATACACATCTTAAGCATGCCCTGGAGTTTTGACAATGGCTTATGTACCAATACATGCCTAAACAAGATAAAATCATCTCTGCAGAAAGCCCAGTCTTCCCTTTCCAGTCCTATCTTGAATTTGTGATCTTCTTGCTTCAGCTTGCCAAGTACTTGAATTACAGGTATGTACCACAATGTCTGGCTCCCAGACAAGCATTTCTGGTTTTTTCTTTTCTTTTCCTCTACCAGATATAATAATCTGTAAATGAAAACGGGACAAGTTTTTTTCCAAATGTTGATTGTGGAGGCAAAAAAGCCAAAAATAAAAAAACAAAATTCCAGAGATGCCATGTAGCTGCTAAAGGAGTAACATGATGGAGCATTTCGGGGCTGTGGGACCTGGCTGGAAAAAAACTCCGTCTTCACAACTGAAAAAAGGTATAGGCATATACCAAAGGGTCCAACACTACTGACACTGAAAGAGCACCCACAATCCAACGACCTCACCCCAGTGGTCAGCCCAGGCCATGAGGACAGGCTGTACAGTGTTCTCACTCGTCACTGCAAGAATGCGGTCTGTGGTCATTTCCGGGCAGTCAAGGTTTGGGAAGGGAGGCCTCTGCACCCGCCCCTCCCCGTGCAGCTGTGGACACAAACCCACAATGGAGTTTCTTTCAATTGCCAGTCTTTTAAGAAGGTCTCCTAAACTGAGGGTCTTCTCCAAAGGCCTACTTTGCCACCCCTACTGTCTTGACTGTCTCAAGAAAGAAAAAGGAAGGAAAGTGGATACATCTATCTATCTATCTATCTATCTATCTATCTATCTATCAACAACTGAAGATGGAAAAAAGGATTTTTTTAAGCTGATGAACTTACATATTTGGGGTTATTTTGGAGATTCCATTGTTTCATTGTTCGGTCTGTCTTTACACCACTATCATTCTATTTATATTGGCAATCTATTTGTAATGTATCTTTGAACCCAATAGTGCAATGCCTCCAATTCTACTCTTTTGGAATAAGAGCACTTTATCTGAGCCGGGCGGTGGTGGAGCACGCCTTTAATCCCAGCACTCGGGAGGCAGAGGCAGGTGGATCTCTGTGAGTTCGAGGCCGGACTGCGATAGCCTCCAAAACAATACAGAGAAACCCTGTCTTGTAAAAACCAAAAAAAAAAAAAAAAAAAAAAAGAGAGCACTTTGTCTGTTGAGCTTTTAAAAATTTATATGAATTATGTGACTTCATTATTTCTGTAAAATGTTTGATAAAATATTCACTGAATATGTGGTGGTAGTGTGGACATTCTAAAAATTATTATTTCTTCTAATCCATTAAAACAAGATAATTTTCATTTTAAGAAAAAGAGAAAGAGGAAGGGAAGTGTGTTCCTTGCTTTTGTGAATTTATTACTTGAGTTCTGAGGGAAGTTTCATGAGTGCCGAAACCCCCAACTTGTACATAATTGACAGTTATTTCTTCTGCTATGACTTGTGAATAGCGTGAGGTGAGGCAGGCAATTTCTGGTCAGTCTGTTCCTCATTTCTTGTGTAGTTTCCTTGCCCTAAGGCAGTGATCACCACTGGGGTTAAATCCAAGGCTAGGATGACTCTTGATATGCCTGCATGTTTTCACCATCTTCAGACATCTTTTCTTCCCTTGCCCTTATGCCTGCTGGGCTTGCTCTGTTGTGTTTGTAATAAATAAATCATTGTGATCCAAAAACAAAAACAAAAAACAAAATTCCTCACTCTTGCTCCAGTGACTTGTGATGCTTCTTTATCCAACGGGAGCTTAACCAGTCCTGGCATCTCATCCCAAATGGCCAATCTTTACCTCCCCCCTTTATTAATAATTGGTTTTCTAGTACAATATACCCCGGTTACACCAATCTTAGAAAGGACAAATGGCTGGACCGACAGCTTCCAAAACAATACTGAGAAACCCTGTCTCGTAAAACCAAAAAAAAAAAAGATGTGTATAGTGATGTACACCTGTAATTTCAGTACTCAGGAGGCAGAGGCAGGTGTATCTCTGTGAGTTATAGGTCAGGCTGATCTGCATACTGAGTTTCAGGCCAGTCTGGTCGACAGAGTGGTTAGAGACCCCATCTCTACAAACAAATAAACAAACAAACAAATAAATAAGGTGACCTATACTTCCAATAAAACAAAAATGCTACAGTGACTTGTACCTCCAAGCCTATCTCTGGGATCCTGAGATGAACTTCAGATTTAAATAGAGGGCAAGAACCATGCATACCTATGCAGTTCTTGTTAATGTATGGTCCCCTCACCATGACTGCCCAGGCTCCAGTCCCTCCTGCATGATGATCTGACCCCTTTCCAAGACAGTCCCCTCCCCTGATCTACCCCTCCTACACACACTGTATCCCAGCCTTTTCCTTCTCCCGACACAAGAATCTTATAGAAATACCAATTGGAGTGTCTGTGATTTCAATAGTCTGATATCCAAAGTCAAGGTGAGAGTGATCACCAGTCTCTCTTTAGAATACCTTTATTTCCAATTTCTGAAGTTGTGCCATCAAGTATCAACTAGATTTAACTAAATGACTGTTCATAGCACAAATTTAGGTTTCCAGGAAATGTTACATTAAGAATGAAAGGGTAAGAACAACACCTGCTTTGTGCACTCAGCCACAACTTGACTGCACACACCAGCATCCAATGTGATTTTCTTATTTGTTTTGTTTGTTTTTTTAAGACAGGGTTTCTCTGTGTAGCCCTGGCTGGCCTCTAGAAATCCACCTGCCTGTTTCCTGAGTCACCCAGCTATGAATTCCAGTATTTTTTCAAGTGTATGTATGTGCACTATGTGCATGACTGGTACCCAAGAAAGTCTGAAATTCCAAGTATTCCCCTGGAACTGAAGTTACCGATGGCTACAAACCATCACCACGTGAGTGCTGGGAACCAAATATTGGTCCTCTGCAAGAGCAGTAAGCACTCTTGAGCCATCTCTCTAGTGCCCCCACAGCACTGTTCATGGTTTTTGTCTAAAAGCATACTAATTATTACTATTATTATTGTGTGTTGTGAGAATCAGTCTACAACTGAACATGTATAGAAGTAAAGGGCAACGCTCAGTTCTCTCACTGTGAGCTCTAGGGATTGAACTTGGGTTGTCAAACTTAGGAGCAGGCCCCTTCAGCCGTTGAGTCATCTCAATGGTCCTTTATGTATTATTATTATTATTACTATTATTACTATTATTGTGTGTGTGCACGCTCTCATGTACACAGGTGTGTGTGCAGGTATATGTGCCATGGTACACAAGAGAAGGCACGCAAACAACTTTGGAAAGCTAGTTCGATCTTTCAACTATGGGTTCCAGGGATTAAATTCAGATCAAGCTCACATAGTAATTTTTACCCATAAGCTTTACCCACTGAACCATTTCAATACCCATTTTAGCATTTTTATTATTACTGTATGTATGTGTGGGTGTGCCCATGATCCATGGCACCCATGTAGAGATCAAAGAGCAATTCTGGGGAGTTGACTCTCCCCTCCCACCATGTGCTCCCAAGGATGTCCTAAGGACATCTACCTTGGCACCAAGCACCTTTGCCACTGAGCCATCTTACTGACTTCTTTCTCTTTCTGATCATCCCAAATCTAGATGTGGACCTTTACTCCTGGTGATTCAACTTTGTGTTTGAATGTGCATGTGTGTACGAAAGAGCAGGCATGCCACCTATGGAGGCCAAGAAGAAGGTGCCCAGGTACCTTTAATCTAGAATTACTGGGTGCTGGGAACTAAACTTGGATCCTCTGGAAGAACAGTAAGTGCTCTTAACTTGCAGAGCCATCATTCTAGCGGCACAACTCAACTGGGAATGTTAACACTTGTCACCTGGGTTATGAGATATAAAAGACGGGCAGAACAAAGTGGCTTAGCTCCCACAGGTTAATAAACCTAACTGGAGAGCCACATATGACAGAACGTATCTAAATTCCTACTATTTTAACGGGGTGGCCAGAGGCTCAGTTCAAGTCATTCCTGGCTATACAGTGACATTAAAGCAAACCTTGAAAAACAAACAAACAAAAAACAAAATCCACATAATTAGGGACTGGAGATGACTCAGTGGTTAAGAGCACTGACTGTCCTTCCAGAAGACCTGGGTTTAATTCCCAGCACCCACGTGGCAGGTCACAGCTGTAACTCCAGACACCCTCACAAAGACATACATGCAAGCAAAACACCAACGCACATGAAATAAAAATAAATAAAATTTTTTAAATTCACACAATTAGAAGAATACCATTAGACATATGGCAATGTTTGGAACCCAGTTCATAACCAGACACTCTTGTTTGATAGCCCACGGTAGCCTTGAACTTTCTACTCTCCCGTTTATGCAGTGCTAGAAGGAGAAGTGTTGAGAATGTTGGTCACTAAAACATAATTTTGAAGCGGGGCGGTGGTGGTGCACTCCTTTAATCCCAGCACTCAGGAGGCAGAGGCAGGTGGATCTCTGTGAGTCCGAGGCCGGGCTGGACTGATAGCCTCCAGAACAATACAGAGGAACCCTGTCTCGTAAAACCAAAAAAACAAAAACATAATTTTAGAACATACTTGTCTGCTCTAAGAAATATACAGATAGCAGAACACAGCTGGAATGGCAAAAATCTGGCCTTCTGCTATGGGCAGTCAAAAGCCTATTATTCATTCAATAAGCACGGGGGACCTGCAGGTTCTCTGCCTCCACTGTGGGTTCCGGGATCAAATCAGGTTCCAAGTCTTGCATGACAAGTGCTTCTGCACACTGAGTCACCCACTGGCCCTGGAGCAAACAATCTCGCCAAAAGCAACTTAAGGGATGACGGTTTATCAGGCTTTCAATTAGAGACTATAGTCTATCACCAAGGGGGAGTCTAGGCATGAATTCAAGCAGCTATTCACATCACATTGACAGTCAAGAGCAAAGAAATGAATGAATCCTTGCATGCTTGCTTGCTCTTCTGTCTTATACATATAGCTCAAAGCCCAAAACTAGGGAATGGTGGCACCATTAACAGGCTGGGACTCCCTATAGGAATTAACAATTAAGACAATGCCCTCTCAGACACGCCCACAGGTCAATCTGATTTACACAGTTCCTTCCTGAGACTCTTTCCAGATGATTCCAGGTGGGTAAGCTGACAATTAAAAGCTAACAGTCACATCACAAAGGAGAAAAATGAATAATCCAACAGGATGGGCTAAATGAAGTAGGAATAGGAGCGCAAAATAGAAGACGTATGGGGAAAGACAACATTAAAGGCCTTTTGAAAACATTGTATAGAAGCCTACCTTCCGAAAATATATATAGGCTGGGCACTGGTGGTGCACACCTTTAATCCCAGCACTTGGAAGGTAGAGGCAGGCGGATCTCTGAATTCGAGGCCAGCCTGTCTACAGAGCAAGTGCCAGGATAGGCTCCAAAGCTACACAGAGAAACCCTGTCTTGAAGAATATAACAACAACAAAAGAAAAAACCCTAAAATATATACTTATATAGAAATAGTTTAAATAGAATTATCGTATAACCAGGCAACAATGTCCCTACTGAATATACTATGGGCTAACAAAAACTTCAGTACAGGAATGGATTACTTCTCTTGGTGGTATTGCACAGACTTCCAAACATTACAGACTATGGCCATCACTCTTGGTTACCCATCAGAAGCTGAGAATAAGACCCCATTGCTGAAGACACCACATACTTGATTCACAGAACATGAAAAAATCAACCTGCTCTTAACTGGTGCTTCATCTCTACTGACTAGCTTTCATAGTGCTGAGTGCTATGCATGCTATTAGAGAGGGGGGGGGGAATCACCAATCATTTTTTAAATATATGATTATTTTTATTTTATAGTCATTGGTGCTTTGCCTATATGTGGGTGTGTGGGTGTCATGTCAAAAGCCCTGGAACTGGAGTTACAGATAAGTGTGACCTGCCATGTGGGTGCTGGAAGGGGAGCTGGTGCTTTTAACTGCTGCTGCACCTCTCCAGGCCCAGAGTCATCAATCTTACCAGCTGTGAACTCCACAAGCTACAGTAATGACCACCCTGGCAAGACATGCCCTCTGATGCAACAGGGGCACAAACGTTATGGGAGTAACCAAACTTTCTGATTGGATTTAAGACCCTCTGCACAAGACGCAACCCACACCTAGCATTATCAGAGTCGAGAACCTATGGCTAGTAGGTCACAGACCATAGGAGACAACCTACCACTACTATTCTGCTAAACAGACATAGTAGTAAATGAACTCATGACTTATCACTATGTCCATAGATTAGTGCATCTCCAAGTCTTCATCAGAAAAGTTTCCTGCAGCAGAGTGTTCAGCCCTAAATGAGACATCAATATCATACCCTTTCCCTCAAGGCTCAGGAATTTTTTTAAAAAGGGGAATAGAAAAGGTCAGAGGCCACAAATGACTATAATGAAAGCATTTCCCAGACATACCACAGCACTTGCACAAATGAACTCACAGTGGTTATGTAACATATACAAGACCTCTACAAGCTCAAGTCATACAAAATTCCATCACAGAGGGGAAGGATGACATGAAGTCTAACACTAGCAGAGGAATGACTGATAGCTTATGGGAGGAGAGTCAGTTGTCAATTTAAAAGTATGACCTCTTGTAGGTTGTCTACAATTCAGTGGATGGAGTATTTGGGCAACACAAATTAGACTAGAAAAGAGAAGAAGAAAAAGAAGAAGAGAAAGAGGAAGAGGAAGAGGAGGAGGAGGAGGAAGAAGCAGAAGCAAAAAAGCTAGGTGGGAAGGGAAATGGGAACTGATCTGGGAGAAGTTTGGAGAGGGAGTGAATGTGATCAATATACACTATTAAACTCTCAAAGGGAATAAAATTAAAAAATAGCCATCACAGGTACATTGTATGACAGAACATAATTCATGTTGCCACTGAGTGACTTCAAAGGGTCATTATAAGGTGTTAGCTGGAACCTATGGCTTGACTTTGGTGTAAATACTAGAGGCTATGAATTTATGTCACATACTATTAACACAGAACTAAATACCTGAATTGCTTCAAAATTTACACTCATGATCAATCAGTCTGAAAAAAGAAGGTGACTATGGAACAACAAAATATTGAGAGACCATATTCACTTAACTTTTATTACAGTATATTGTTGAAAGTATTCAATTTCTTAACTATTTGTTCAGCTCTTACTGTACTGAATTTATAAAATAATCACAGATACATATGTTTAGGGACAGAAAATGATACACATAGAGTTCTACACCCTCTACAGTTCAAGGTATCTACTGGCATTCTTAGAAAGTATCAACCATAGGACTTGGGGAGATGGCTCAGTGAGCAAAATACTTGTAAGCATGAAGAGATTGAGTGTGGACCCTAGCACCCATGTAAAATCCAACAGGTTGGCACGTGTCAGTAAGCCCAGCGCTGGAGGGGGTGTTGGGGTCAGAGACTTGTTAGCCAGCAGGTCTAGCTGAAATTGTGAGCTACAATTTTAATAAGAAACCCTATCTCATGAACTAAGACAGGCAGAAGACACAGATGTTGACCTGAGTTCCACGTGCTATCTAAACACATAAACATTCACATGCATATGTACACAGAATACACAAATAATTAAATGATGTTAAAACACATTTATTAAAAAGAGATTCTCTCCTTAGATAAGGGGAACATTTTATTGTTCATTTCACTCGGCAACCTACAGATGATCCAGGGAGAAAAGAACTCATGTGACCATTGCACACTGCTTATGGTTTCATTATGGAAAACATAGGAAGATGAGTAAAGAGAAATATGTATGCTGCTTACTGGGGGCCCCAGTTGAAACCAAAGATGCTGCTATAAGGGGGAAAAGTACTCACACAATGTGGCAATACGAGTAAGGTATGGTAATACAGACCTGGAATTCCAGCACTTAGGAGGTGGAGACAGGAAGTCCATGAGTACAGGGTCATCCTCAGGTACACTGGGAGTTCAAGGCCAGCCTGAGTCCTATCTCAAAACAAAATCAGACACCATAGTTAACAAGGAAGAATATGCTAGCAATTGTTCCACAGTTTACATGTGAGAGGGTTAGCTAGTTGAGCACACCATTCAATGCTAAGGACAAGCTTGAGCTGCATGACATTCATAATGCAACAGTACCCTCCCTATAGCATGCAAACTCTCATTGCTATGCACACATCAAACCCAAGATGTTCCTTGTAAAGCCTAGGAGAGAGAGACCTCCACCTGGGCACAGGGAAGGGGAACAGGACCCATTGTTCCTAGTTATCATTTATCAGAGAACCCAGATTGACTCCACATCAGGCTGGGCCTTAAAATCTATGGCAGCTTTATGGGATATCCATGACCTGGAGTATATGGGTATGGAGAGTCAAAGACTCAGCATCTGTGATAGCCTGTTCTCAGACAGCCTAGTAGGTGCGTCATTTGCTGTCTTGATGCACGGCCCAAAGCTGAGAAGGGCAATGTCTTCAATCAGAGGAGTAAAGCAACAAAAGGCTATGGGGACAGAGTCCACAAGGCATGAGAAATACTGATAAGACTTCTACAGTCAAGTATTGAAGTGTACTAACATATCTGTTAGTTTCAATTTGTCAATAAAACTTTAAAACAGAGGATACATTCCCACCAGAACTAAAAAAGCATTGTAAGAAGCTCATTAGAAAAAGGGTGCTCCCAGGCGGTGGTGGCACACACCTTTAATCCCAGCACTCAGGAGGCAGAGGCAGGCAGATCTCTGTGAGTTCGAGGCCGGGCTGGACTGATAGCCTCCAAAACAATACAGAGGAACCCTGTCTCGTAAAACAAAAACAAAAAAAAAAAAAAAGAAAAGAAAAGAAAAAGGGTGCTCACCATCAATCCCAGAGCCACACATGGTGCAAGGAGAACCAACTCTCTCAAGTTGCCCCCTGATCAACACCTCCCCCACAATAAATGTAATTAAAAAGGAAAGGAAAGGATGAGTGAGTAAAAGATACTGTGTTTGTGTGTGTCATTAATAGTGTGCCATGGCCAGTGAAATGGTTCAATGGGTAAAGGTACTAGCTACCAAGCCTGAAAAGCTGAGTTCTACCCCTGGGTTGTTAACAGACAACCAATTTCCATAATTGCTGTGACACTCCTGCATGAGCACAAGCACCCTACACATGCACGCACACACACACGCACGCACACACACACACACACACACACACACACACACACACACGTGAAAACAAAAGGTGCCAAATGAAAATCCTGGAAGATACTAGCAATGTCATACATGTGGCCCTAGAGAAAAGGGTATACAGTAAAAATGTTGTCTGAATGGACTATGTGTGGTGACAAAGTTGCTGCAGTACCTCAAAGGCAGCCTGGAAAAGTACACTATGTTCACGCTGGAAGAATGAGGCACACTACAGATAACAAGCTGCTGAAATAGGTGCAGAGGGGCTGGTGAGATGGTTCAGTGAGTACAGTGTGAGCTATGCAAGCCTGCTGACCCAAGTTCAATCTCCGGAACCCACATCAGGAGGAAGGAAGGGGAGGAAACAACTCTACAACATTGTCCTCTGACCTGCATGCACACACACCCACACACTTCACACACAATAATAAATTAAATGAAAAGGGGAGCTGGAGCGATGGCTCAGCGGTTAAGAGCACTGACTGCTCTTCCAGAAGATCCATGTTCAATTCCCAGCAGCTCACAGCTGTCTATAACTCCATAATCTGACAGCCTCATACAGACATACATGCGGGCAAAACATCAATACACATAAAATAAAAACAATTTTTAAAAAATTAAATTAAATAAAAATAAACAGGCACTAAAAGGAATGCATTAGTCAATGTATAAATAAAAAATATTTACAAGTTGTTGAATGAACAGAATTAGTAGCAATATTCAATATGGTATACAGGAGCTTTAATTATGGACTCACAACACTGAGATTGCAGTAATATACTGCATGGTACCAGCCATGAAAATTAATTATATAAACTTTGGATTTTGAGTTGGATCAGAATATAGAACTCTTATTACTTACACATAACAAAATTTACACATATACTTTATAGTATTCACATTAAATTACACACATATAGAAATATATAAATCTCAGTAGTCATGAGGCAGGAGAACAAGGAAAGAAACATGTGTTACACAGTGAGTTCCAGGCCATGTAGGGCTACACAGCAGGAATCTATTCCAGAAACCGTAAATGAAAATGTAAAGACTGATGTAGTTATATAACCTACTACATTTTATTGTAAGTTCTTGAATGGGGCTCATTTTTAAATCACTAACTCAAGGTAGACACACCTACACTCTCAATGTGGGAACCCTGAGGAAGGAGGATAGAGTCCAAGGCTGGCCAGCCCTACAACATAGCAAGACCAGATAATTAATAAATACCCAAACTTGAAGTTTCAACGTTCCTTTATTTTACTCATTTCAGTTCACAGCCAGTAAAAACGGGGGCTGGGGAGCCGGGAGGGGGGAAGGGGGGACCGGGATGGGACACGGACGACACGGGACTAGCATTATAGGTCACCCAAGCATTACAGCTTCTAAGAATACAGGTGAGTGCTCTTACTCACTTGAAATGGCCAAGTGATTTCAAAACAAACACCTTGTAGTTACAACTAAAAATCTATTTTCCTCAAAACAAGTTTTAAATGAGGTTAGAAAAGATTGATTCAGAAATTGCTATATAAAGAAAAAGGCCTGGGAAAAAATTAATGTATGTCAAAATAAAATGTATGTATCTCCTCTGACCTAGAACACATGACCTTAAAACTCACTCTGACAATACACCTCCATAAATACAGGTAAGGGGGAATAAAAAGGCCGACAAATTGGCTAAAGGCACTTGCAGCATATGCCTGTCTACCTGAGTTGGGTCACCACACAAAAGAAGAATCAACTCCACAAAGCTGTCCTCTGACCAAACCATGTCACCATCATTCAGGTATAAGTATGCACACATACTAATTAAACAAACGTTAAATTTAACATTAAGAAACAAAAAGGCAAGGACATGCACTCACTGCAGGTAATTAATGGATGTTTAAAAAGTTAGGTGGGATGAGAGCTGGGGTACCAGACATTCCTCCTGTCATCCTGTCAAACTATCAGCAAAACAAAGTGTTGGGGTTGTGGCTTGGTGCAGAGTGCTTGCCTGGCATACCCAAGTCCCTGACTCTAATCACCAGCACTGCAAGCAGAGTGCTGTGATGGTCAGGACTTTTAGCCAACACCAAAATTCAGACCACAACAAATGGACGTTTCCATAAAAAAATATAATACAAATACGTAACATCTACAGATTATCTTCTCCATAATCTTTTGAAATCTTTGACGGTGACAATGGAAAGCTCTGGCACCCAAATTTACTGAAAACAAGATGTGCCTGTTAACCCAGCATTTGGACGACTAGCCTGAACTACATGACACACCATCTCAAAAGAGAAAGGGAAATTTGTGCCTATCTGTTCAACCATATATGGCAGCTTGTCTACTATAAATATACAGCAAATTAATGGGTAACCTTTATGACTTATAAATAAATACAATAGACAGCTTTTGGTTTTATTTTTTGATACAGGTTCTTGAGGTCCAGGGGGACCTCAAACTTGTAGTGATACTCCTGCCTCTACCTCTCAGTTATTGGGACTGTAGGTATTTGCTACCAAGCCCAGCACAGTATAGAAATCTTGAACGGATCATATACCTCCAAACATCCAGAAGCTTGCTTTTTTTTTTTTTTTTTTTTTTTTTTTTCCGAGACAGGGTTTCTCTGTATTGTTTTGGAGGCCATCCTGGAACTCCCTCGGTAGACCAGGCTGGTCTTGAACTCACAGAGATCCGCTTGCCTCTGCCTCCCAAGTGCCAGAAGCTTGCTTCTTAAAAAAAAAAAAAAAAAGGAGAATTTTGAATGTTTATAGGTCAGATACCACATGGCATCATTTTTAATTTCCAGTTCTGGTTTGTGGTGTTGGGAATCGAACCTAGGGCTTCACACATGCTAGTCAAGTATTCTACCACTGAGCTACATTCCCAAACAGTTTTTAATTTCCTTCTTTTTTTAGAAACAAGCTCTTACGTGATCCAGGTTGGCCTACAACTTACTTATGGCCAAGGATGACACTGATCTCCTAATCTTCCTGCTTCTATGGATTAAGTGCTAGGATTACAGGAGAGTGGGCTACTACACTCAGTTTATGTGGTATTAGAGATTGAACCTACGGATTTGTGCAAAATAAGCAAACACTGTATCAACTGAACTTCATACCCAACTCCATTCTTTAATTTTCTTGATGAAATCTAGTAATTTTCTTTTGTTTTTCAAGACAGGGTTTCTCTGTGTATTTCTGTCTGTCCTGGAACTCTCTCTGTAGACCAGGCTGGCCTCAAACACAGAGATCTGCCTGCCTCTGTCTCCCAAGGGCTGGGATTAAAGTCGTGCACCACCACAACCCTGTGACATCCCCCATTGTTTTCAGTTTACATTTTCTATCTAGTAGAGGGAAGAGCAAACAAACTTTTCTGCAAAGAGGTGAATGTACCATAACAGAAACTGGGCCATGAAATATGCAAGTACATTTAAGATTTTTTTTAAGTGAAATGGGGGTGTGTGTGGGAGAGAACACACTAATTTACCAATCTTATTAGTTAATTCTACAATTCTTACTAATGTTTACTAATATTTCTTCTGTTAAAGTCCACATTTTTAAGCAGCTTGGTGACGAACAGGGCTAATACTTACGAGAAAATACATGTAGCATGCCATGGATTTGATTACTAACTAGTACAAGGCTATAAAGGGGATGGAGAAACAAACACAGGCCTGGGAACTTTAGACGTGCAGAATAGCTCTCTAATGTTTATTGCGTTTTTGTTTGCTTTTTAAATACAATGTTGCACTATGTCACAATGGTTAGCCTGGAACTCACTATGCAGACCAGGCTAGTGTGGAATTCATAGAAATCCTCTCGACTTCTGAGTGCAGAGATTTTAGGGCATGCACAGCCACACCGGGCTGGGGTTTCTTGAGTGGGCTTGAGGTCTGCTAACATTTACACTCTCCCAAGAAAAGACGTACATTCCAAGTAACTAAGAAGTATGTCTTTGTATCTGAAGCTAATGACCAAAATAAAATACACACAAAAATACGAATCAAGCTCTCCACCGAGACGTTCATTTCTATTCTTTTTTTTAAAAGAAACACAGCCTTTTCCAAAAGTCGCCTTTCACGAAGTGCTCACCTAAGGCGCTGAAATCACAAGGTTTACGAGGCCGATGCTCGCAACTACTCCAGCGAAAATTCGTTCCCTTCTGAGGAAAAAAAACAGAAAACCAGCTTTTCCCCATGAGCGTCGCTTTGGGGGGCGGGAGACGCAGACACCGCAGGGCGCGCCTTCTGGGCGCTTTCCCGCCCCGGGACTGAGAGCCCGAGTGGCTCAGACTTGGCCACGTCCGGGGACGCCGTGGCGGGTGGGGCAGAGCTTGGCACCCTCGACCTTCTCCTTCCCCATCAACCTCGGGCAGTACCCGCACCGCGGAACTCACGAAGGCCACAGCTACCCAGGAAGCTCTTACGTGCAGGCGCCGGAAGAGACGGTCGCGGTCCTGACGTCACTTCCGCCCACGCCTCGTTTGCTGCAGGGTGGGCGCTGTAGCGGCTTCACAGTGGGAGCCGGAATGATGGCCTCGAGGACAAGCCAGATTTAAAGCCTGGGATGTGGGTCTTCGGGGGCGCCCAGGCCCCGTAACTAAGCCCTTCCACACGGTCTCCTGCGGTCCTCCGCCCACGGGGAGCTCACCGGAAACTTCCCAGCCTACCCCTGCCGCGTTCAACCCAGGCTTTCCAGAGCTCCCTGGTTCAGCAACAACAAGGCCGCCTCGCTTCCGCAATCATTCGGACCTTTCGAGGTGTTGGCATTGGTTTTGGTAGGTTGCAACCATAAAGTGTGCTTCAACAGGCCAACTAGCTCATTCCACCGGGCTCAGGAGCCACTAGAGGCTTTTGACTGGGAATCCTGAAATAATTATTGGGTGGATCTGTCTTAGCAGTCTCCCAACCCTATCTGCATCTTTCCCAGCAACTGTTGAATCCCGAGTCCATAAACAAAACGTGAACTCAGTTCTTGTTTGTTGCCGTCTCATGTCACAGGAAAAATGACCAGTTCTACACTATTGGATGCTGATGCTCCCTTGATACATGAATGAAGAGCCAGTTGAACAATCCTACAGTTCAATAGCTGAGAACTGTAATGTTATAAGCCTTTTAAAAAGTGGTCTGTCTGCATTTATCCCTGCAGGCCAGAAGAGGGCACCAGATCTCATTACAGATGGTTGTGAGCCACCTTGAGTTAGCTGGAAATTGAACTCAGGACCTCTGGGAGGCCAGCTGGAGTCCCTGAGCACTGAGCCATCTCTGCCCTATTAGAAGCCTTTTGAGGAACTTTTAGAACTGAATTCTGCTACTTCTGTTGGTCAAATTAAATTCAGACTTCACCTTCTGATGGACTTCAAAGAATTTATGGCTGTGATCTATCACAGGATGTAATGGGCCGTTTGTCAAGACCCATTTTGCCCCCTCTGCCATGGATTTGTTCCGTTAGGGGTTTATGTTGCCACAAAAACAATATGCCAACAAGAAATCACTGCACACTTAAACCTGAAGGAAAAGCTCTTTGTGAAAGCATACCGCCAGACTGGGGCTAAGACCCAAATGAGAGCTGGCCTCAAATAGACTTCACTGACTTGGACTGTCATCCTTACACACTTTGAACATTTAAGCAGAGACAGGAGACTGCAGGTCTAGCCACCTGGTCAGATAGGAGATTTACACAGCAAAAATATTGCCAAAATTGTTAAGTGCACCAGTGTTGTTCTTTTCAAATACATGTGACCCAGTGTCATGTTGCCCTTTTGGCAGAATTATGCTTTTCTTAAGAAAAGCACTGGGAACTTCACAGCCAGCCAGGACCTAACATCCGTTGTGCTGCCCCTGGAGCTGCCTGTTCAAAACACATGTTCTTTGAGGATGGGACTAATGGCTGGTCAGTCCTGGTGAACATTTCCATCCTAGCATCATGAATTTGCTTATCTCTAGCAGGCTTGAGTAGCACACTAGTTTGGAAAATTGAGGATGGGGCAGCACTTCCTTAGCTCAATTCTACTTTGTGTGATTTAATGTCTCCTAAGCAAATCTATTAACAAACCCTCTATAACATTACTATTCTGGTTTTCTTCTATGCCAGAGTAATGGTGCATTCGCTTCTAAGGCTCTACAATTGTGATGCTCAGGAAATAAATGATGGGAATCTGTATGCAAACTGTCTGGTCTACTCAGTTAGAAAGAAACAATATTAACAGATTTTATTTTAAAACTGGATTTAATGTTTTAGAATAGCAACTAAAATAAAAGTAAATGCAGTACATAAATTTCAAGCATTGGGTAAAATTTCAGTAGAAACATTACAGAGAGAAGGAACATGCAACAAATACAGAAAAAAATCCAATTCTGTTACTAATTGCATTATACATAATGGCCTAAAAGAATTGTTAATTAGGATTTTTCAAGTATTCAGAATTTTAAAACTCCAACTAAAGTATGTATAAAAGACACATCTACAGCTGGGTTACAAGTCAGTGTTAGCATATGTAAAGCCCTAAGTTTGAATCCTAGCACCCCCCCCAAAATGTTTGAACTAAGGATACAAAAAGAAAGCTTATACATATATATGTGTGTGTGTGTGTGTGTGTGTGTGTGTGTGTGTGTGTAAGTACCTACCAGAGTCAATGGAATAAAAACTATATCAGAAAATTTCAATATTTCAAGACAGTTTTTTTCCTTTCCAAATCATTTACCAGACCCAATTCCACCTTCAGGCTCATTTGTTTCTTTTTGTTTTATTTTATTTTTGTTTTTGTTTTTTTAAGACACTTTCTCACAAAGTAGCCCAGTCTCAGGCTACCCTTAAGTCTGTGACCCTCCTGCCTTGCCTTGGAATCCCTAAGATCACAGTGTGTGGCAACACACTGTTTTTGAAATAGATACTCTCCAAAACAATACCAGATACTTTCAAGATTAACTCAATGTAAATACAAGGAGAAATAAATGCAGAATGCAAGACCAGCCCAAATTAAACTCAATTATACAACCAGGAAATATTAGAATATAAGAAAAAATAAATTTTGTTTCATGTGAAAATGAAAGCATGCCTAGAAAAATATACTCAAAAATTTAATGATATTGTAAATATTAAGTGTCCTATAAACATAAAAGATACCAAACAGTTTAAGATAAAAGTACCCCAAACATCATCAATTATTCTAGATCAGTATAACTGAACAGGTTAAGAATTTAGTGAGGAATACACTTCACTGTAGTATATGACACTGTTCTAATCTACAGCTAAAAACCAGTCAATTCATTTTAAAATTTTGTTTTGGTAGTACTGAAGATTGAAACCAGGGTCTTGTACATTGCTAAACAGGCACTCTACCTATCCCTACTCTTCTTCCATAAGAAAAATTTATATGCCATTATTACTCAAGAATATCTATGAAAATCTTTATGTGAATAAACATAATCAACACTAAATAGTAAAAGTGAACCATTTGGTTCAAAATTGTAGCTCAGTGGAGAGTGCTTGCATACTCCTGGGATTGTTTGATCCCCAGCAATCACACAAAACAAAAATGATCCTTAATGTCCACATTAAATATATCTAGGAATTTAAGGTTAACATCAGACAACTGTATATAATCATTATTAATAAATGACTGCCTTTACTTTAGAGTCCTTTTACTCATTCCAGTATTTATTAGGTATTATGGACCAGAAAATGAGTATGGTCAGAGGATATAAGGAAAACAATAAATCCAAGGATAATTTTACTTCACAATTAAAGAAATACTATAAAATGAATAAGCAAAATCCAGATATTAAAAAAACTATCTAATAAAGCAAATCAGTATGGTGGAGAGCATACCTCATTATAATTCTAAAGAAAAATATGTTTTTACTACTTTCACTATTGTGCTGGACATCATACTCATTTCTGTAAAGAAACCACTAAAATAGAAATAAAAATACCATCATTATCTACAGTTATGACTACCTGTCTGAGAAACCAAAAGAACCTATATGCAAATATACTGTACTGAAGACCCTCTCAAATTCAGGTTAAATCTAAGCCATAGCATGATTGTCCAGGTAGAGTCTTTAGAATTTCCACTTAGGACCATAAGTGGAAACCTCACCAAACAAGACTGTGATTTTTATCAGAAGAGGAAGAAAACCTCATTTTCAGATTTTGTCATTTGAAAACGTCTGCACCAGAAGTCAAACATGCTGATTTTTTTTAAATGTGTGTGTATGTGCATGCTGGCATGTTCACACATTTGCACGTGGCATGTGGGAGCCAAAAGATAATGTCAGGTGTCCCCAATCACTTTCCATTTTATTTATTTTAGCAGTCAGCATCTCTTGCTGAACTTGGAGCTCATAAATTCTAGTAACCTAGCTACCCAAATCATCTGAAGATTCCCATGTTGCTTTGCAAGCATTGGGATTACAGGTGGGCCTCCATGCCCACCTGGCACTTAGATGGGTTCCGGGGAACCAAATATGGTTCTCATGTTTGCATGGCAAGAACTTTCCCCTCTGAACCATTTAACTAGCTCCCATGCTGTCTTCCTTATATGAGAGAATAAATTGCTGTATATTATCTGTCCACGGCTGGAGATAAAACTTAAATTTGCATATGCTAGGCAAGGAATATTACCACTGAGCTAAACCCACAGCCCTAAAATTTTATCCAAAATGTCATAATGGAACCCAATACTATGCTAACCTAAAATTTCGTTTCTTTTAAAGTGAATTTTAAAGCAACTTGGCTTCTGTTGGTTTTGTGTTATATTTATTGTGTATGTAAGTGTGTGTACAAAATGTGGTATTCATGCAGAAGTAGAGGACAACTTGTAGCAGTCCATTCTCTCCTTTTACTTTGTACGTCCCTGGTATCGAACTCAGTTCCTGATTTGATTGAAACCAGGTAAAGCACCTTTACTTTATAAGCCATTTTGCCAGTGCTACTATGGTGTTTTGTGGTACTAGGGCATTGCAGTTTTAAAAAAAAATGCAAGTAGCTTTGAAACTGAGTGATAGGTAGAAGTTACCCCTTAGGAAAGAGGAACATGTTACTAGAACATGAAAAAAAACTAAGCAGTGATAATGCAATGGTCATGAACCTTGGAGAACTATATTCTTGCATTTTGTGTGGAAGTTTGAGAGTGATAAAACAGAAAATTTATGTGAGACCTGTAACTAAAGTGTTCAAAAGGAGCAACTTGGTTCCTCCTGAGTGCTTTTAGTAAATTATAAAAGGCGAGACACTGAAGCTAAGAAGGAATTATTAAACAAAACAGAACTGTACCTTGAAAAACTCTCAGCTGATCAACATTACAATAACTGAGAGCCAGATAGGGATATAGCTTAGTGGCAGAATATCTACCTAGCACCCACAACACCCTCAGCTCAATCCTCAGATCAATCTCAACCAAACTGAGGAACAGACATTGGATTATATGAACAAAATTACCCAAAATAGATCCAAAAGGTGGATTTTGAGTTTGAACATATTTATAGGGTCACGGGGATAACATCTGTAAATAGACTAGCTAACAAGAATGGATAAGGACTATTTCTTGGTATGCTCATCAGAATCAATGGGGTCAGAATAGCTGCCTGGATTGTGTCTTTCCGAAATACACCAGTGTCTTATATTAATTTGGCTTGTGGTGAATTTTCACATTAACAAAACACACTGGCAGCCACTAACCAACAAAAGGATCAAATGTGTTTAATTATTTCATAACAGAGTCAACCATCAGAATGAGGCCATCTTGTCTACTGGCCTCATTTATGACCCACAAATGCTCAGACTCAAGACATCCAGAAAAAGGTTCCAGGGATGTAGCTCAGTGATTGAGTGCTTGCCTAGCATGTGTGATGTTCTAGGTCAATTCTCAGCACTGCCCAAAAGAAGAAAAGTTTGAGGGGGCACCTAAATTATCCTATTTCATAAAATCAGGATGGTGTGTAAAGCCAGTGTGAAGCATTAGAACCCACACAAAGCAGTTAAGACTAATCTGATGATCTTTGGTGTCACTGTCAATATTTAAAGGTGGCAACAACAGATGGGCTAAATAGCAACACCCATACCCTCACATTGATAGGGTTTTTCTTCAGTGTGAACTCTGCTGTGTTTCCTTAGACGTGAGTAAACAGCAAATGCTTTCCCACACTGCTTGCATATATAGGGCTTCTCTCCAGTATGGGTTCGCATATGAATGTTAAGGGATGTGGAATATATAAATGCTTTCCCACATATATTACACACAAAGGGCTTTTCGCCACTGTGAATTTTCAGATGTTTTGTGCGATGTGAGGAAGTTATGAAGGTTTTCCCACAATGAACACATTCGAAAGGCTTCTCTCCTGTGTGAGTTCTCACATGATGAATCAGACCAGAGGTCCTAGTAAAGGCCTTCCCGCATTCCTTACATTCAAAGGGCTTCTCTCCACTATGAATTCGTACATGTGTGGCAAGGCCTGAGTACTGAGTGAAGGCTTTCCCACACTCCTTACATTCATAAGGTTTGATTCCAGTGTGTGTTCTTATATGTTCAGTAAGCTGAGTAGATCTAGAAAAGGTTTTTCCACATTCCTTACATTCGTAAGGCTTTTCCCCAGTGTGAACTCTTATGTGTTCAGTAAGGCCTGACCATCGAAGGAAGGCTTTCCCACATTCCATGCATTTGTATGATTTTATTCCAGTGTGAATTCTAACGTGATCATTAAGGTATGACACATTTTTAAAGGCCTTCCCACACTCCTTGCATACAAAGGGCTTTTCTTCAGTATGAGTTTTTACATGTGCAGAAAGTCGAGAATAATTAGCAAAGGACTTCCCACATATCTTACATACTTTGGATTTTTCTTCAGTATGAATTGATACATACTGAGTTAGGTGTGAGGAAACCGTGAAGGCTTTCCAACATTCCTTGCAGTCACAGAATTTTTCTCCAGTGCACATTCCCATGGGATTATTAAGGCATGCAAAATACTGAAAGTCCTTTCCACATTCCTCAAATTTGTAGGGGTTTCTTGCATTGAGAATCGGAAGATGCATAGCAAAGCTTGTGGGATGAATAAAACCATTCCCATATTTATTCCAGTCATAGGGTTCTCCTCCATTGTGAGGCCTCATATCTGTCTGAAAGTATGACTGATTAAAAAATACTGTCTCACAGTCTGTGCATTCAAAGGGTTTCTCATTTGTGCTAGTGCTTGGGTACATGATGTTTGGAGTCAGACTGAAGATTTTTCCACACTGATTAAGTTCAGAAACATTCTGTCCAGTAGAGGTTTCCTTGAGCAAAGAAAGAATGTCTTTCCCATACCAGTTACACTCAGAAGTGTATCCTTGGCTCTGCATGCTCACCTCTGTGTTAAAACATAATTGTTCACCCAACACTTCTCCACCTGGCTTAGAGTCACAAAGGTCCTCTTCACTGTGGTTTCCTGACTGCTGAGGAAGGGATGAATCACCCACCTGAAGACAAAAAAACATTTTTATGTTCATTATGAACTTGATAGTTTCTTTTCCATCCAATTATTTCCTGACCTCTATTGTTGCCAAACTGAATGACAGGTCCCTTTGCCAAATTCTGGACGACGGGCTAATTATATGCATTTAAGAAAAAAAAGAGTACATAGTTTCTTAAAACTTCCATGTCTAATTACATATGGAAAAATACATACTAGTAAAAACAATGAAACATAATCTTTATGGTATATTTGGAGATTCTCCCAAGTCATGGTATTCTACACAGTTCTCCAGAAGCATCAGTTCCTTTCAGTGCAGACTATTCATCTCAAATAGTTCTCTACGAAAGAACTCCCTCCCATTTATTTACTTATTTATTTATTTATTTATTTATTTAGAGTAGGAAATAGAAAATCCCTTTCTGATCTTACCATTTCTAGTTCACTGGAACTTTGCATCTTAAAATAATTCTGAAGTTCTGAATCGTCAATTCTAGGTTGTAATTCCAATTCTGAAGTTAAATAGAAAGAGAAATATAAGTTCAGAAATGGTACATAAAGGTGGTGAGGGTCATTTGTCCTTTTCATATTAAGCACATTAACAAAATAAAAGTGAGGGCTGGAATGATGGCTCAGACTAGACATAAATGGCTAAAAACTCAAAACCAAAAAGATGAGAAAATAAAGTGAGACAGATGTACTGGTGCTAACTGTGACCTTAAAGAGGCTCAAGCCAGAGACTCTTTCCTAAGTTCAAGAGCAGCCTGGCCTATGACACTCTGTTTCAAAATTAGTAACAGAAAAACAAGGAAATGGGGCAGGGGAGATGGCCAGTTGGTAAACCATGAAGACCTGAGTTTGAACCCTAAAACAGATTTTGAAATGCCACCCATAGTGGCACATGCTAATAATCCCAGCACTGAAGAGGCAGAGACAGGCACATTCTCTGAGGCTCACTGTTCAACCAGACTAGCCTGGTCAGTAAGCCCCAGATCTCAATGAGAGACCTGGTCTCAAAATATAAGGTAGAGACTGCCTTGTCACCAAACTTGATAATCTTGAGTTCGAGCCTTGGAAATGACATAGTGAAAGAGAAAATTCACTCCAAAGTTGTTCTCTGACCTCCATGGGTATGCTGTGATGTGTACATAACACTTTCTCCTACATGTGAAACAAAGTTACTGTACAGATTTAAGGATTTTATTATGTAAAAAATTTAGTAACTGGACTACACAGGGTGCAAAATGGTTGCCTCACAGGCCCAGGCCCTGGGCTCAATTCCTAGCACCTCCAAAACAAGCTGTAATTAAAAAAATAACAATAAAATAAAAGGTAGATCCTGTGGAATTACAACAACAGGGAAGTCAGAAAGGTCTGAAAAAACAGTTAAAGTACTAGGAAATAGGACACAGGCATGCACAAATAGAAACAATAGATTATACAGAAGGTCTCAAACTCTGAGAAAAATGGCTCCAATCTCTGAGGCCAGTACATTGTAAAAAAAACTTGATTACCGTTGAAAACCAATACTGAACTCAAACAGAGTCCTACATACATACTCACGTTGAGGGACTGTGCTTTCCACTGTCTCCAACTCTTCTTGTTTTAACCAGGGAGTCAGACTAGGAATGAAGAACTGACATCCTACATATGCAGAAACATATATGAATGGAAGAAGTTCAAACAAGAGACAACAAACTTTTATATGGCTAAGGAAATCACATTTCAAATGAAAGCAAGGTAATTCTTTCAAAATGAGTAAAAATGCAAACACAGGGGCAGGGAGGGAGGGTTACAGCTGAGCGGTAGAATGTCTGGTTAACACAGCTAAGGTTCCAAGTGTAACCTCTAACACCATAAAAGGAAATACAATGTTCCTATTTCTATGTACCCAAAAGGAGCCCCTGAGAGCCAAATGCAAATTAATTAATGTACACTTTCAAGAGGAGCTATACCTCAAGGGTAGAACATTTTCCTAGCATGTGTACTGCCCTGGGGTTTCATCTCAGGCGCATCCTCTCTCCTCCCTCTCCCTCTCTACCCCCATCTCTAAAAACAAGTCTACTGTGTGGGACACAGTAGCACATGAAATTTGAAATCCCGTAACTTGGGAGGATAAGGACAGAGAATTCCAAATTTGAGGCCAACAGAATATTTTATTGCCGAAAATAGGTGAGGGTCACAAGGAGGGTAAAAAAAGAGAAGGCAAAGGGGTTAAAAAAAGTGAAGAAGAGAAAGGAAAAATGAAAGTATAAAAGGAAAAGGAAGACAGATGTGGTGGCCACACCTTTAATCCCAGCATTTGAAAGGCAGAGGCAGGCAGATCTATCTCAATCTTATCTACACAGGGAGTTCCAAAGAGAGACAGAACTAAGTGTTACCCGCCCCCCCAAAAAAGAAAGAAAACAAAACAAACAAAAATAACAAAATTAGAGTTCTCAAAAAAGAAAAAAGTGGCTAATAAATATCCCTTTTAAATGTCCATAGTTAGGAAGAATCTGAGAGGAGCTAGGGATGGAAGAAAATATGGTCAATATACATTACATGAAAAAATTTTTTCTTTAAATGTTCAGCATCCTTAGCACTGAAGGAATGCAAATGCAAACAACTTTGAGATTTCACCTTAGTCTACTCAAAATGACAAAAATCAACAAATAACCAGTAACAAATACTGAAGGGGCTGAGGGGAAAGGGGACCCTCATCCACTGCTCATTGGACTGCAAATTAACACAGGCACTATGGAGTCAGTGTAAAGAAATTCTCAAAAAGCTAAAAATAAGCCTACCATATGGTCCAGCTATACCATTCCTTGGCATATGCCCAAGGACTTGAAATTCTACTCCAGATACTTGCTCAGCCACGCTCACTGCTGAGCAAATCTAAGTAGAAACAACGTAAATGTCCTTCAACCAACAAATGGATAATGAAAATGTAGCACATATAACTTGCGTAAAAGAAAACAAGTAAAATCTTGAACTCTGCAGGTAAATGGATGGGACTACAAAAGATCATGGTGAGTGACATACACAAGACCCAGACAGACGTCACATGTTCTTTCTCATCGAGGCTCCTAGCTCCAATCTTCAGATGTGAGTACATAACCTAAAGTGACTGTAGAAAACCAGGGAAGTTCAAAGGACCATTGCTGGCGTCAGGAGTGGGTAGTAATTGAGGGTAGCAGAGTATAGGTGATCTGAAATGGAAAGTATGAAAAGGGGGAGGGACTTTGATTAGGAAGAGGGAGGGAGAAAATACAGGAGAAAGGAGGGTAAATAACAGGAAGGATGTCTGAAAAAGTCATAAGGGGTCATAGTATTGACTATCTACCTAAAAATACCCATAGTATACATAATTTGGTACACATAAATATAGATACATAGTTTAAATGAGCTGACAATGCTCCAAGAGTCAAAGACCATCTAACAAAAAACTCAACACTGGACATAAGAAATCCTCTTGAGTTGTTGAACAGGGTTGTCCAAGAGACTCCAAAATCACTACAGGTTATTGCTACAGACCTTGGTTGCCCCCTAGAGGTAGAAGGTTAAGTCCCAATTGTTGAAGATACCATTCACTTCAGACACAAAACCCAGGGGCCCCTGAGGTAGAACTGACCTGAATGCATCCTACCTGAGGACTAGCTTTCATGGTACCAGAAGGTGCCATGAAATCTTCCAAAACAGGGAAGCAACCCAGCTATGATACCTTTGAACCGCAACAAAAACCAACATGACAATGATAACCGTAAGGATACAAAAGTATCACAGACACCCTGAGGCAACCAACAGCTCTCTATTTTGCCTTAAGACTTACTCAATGAGAGGGAAATCATGCCTGGTACTGGAAATCATAGATCTTGGAGAATCTATAGCCACCACTTTATTAAACAAGCATAACCCAACTATCCTAAATATTGTCTTCATATAGATAAAGAGTTTGCTATGAGATTGAATCTCTTAGTAATGCCAGAAGCTATGCCCATAAAGTATCAACAACATGATTGCCTAAATATGAGCTGGGCAAGGAAGACACCAATACACATGCTCATGTGGAAAGAGGGAGCTCATGGATGCTCATGAGGCCTCAACCCTACACAAAGAACTACAAACAACTAAGGTATGCTAAGAAGGGGAAGAAATAGTCTTTCCCTGGGGAAGACTACACTAATTGATTATCCAGCCAACCCTGAAAAATACATACAAGCAAAACTATGCAGACTTTTTAGATTGTATTATATATTTAAGGGATACACACACACACCCCACATGCATGCACACACGCATGCACACATGCACAAACACAAAAATTAGAAGTCATTTTTTGGTATTTTGGGGTTTTTTTGTGTGTGTTTGTATGTTTTGAGATAGCCTTTCACTATGTAGCCCTGGATAGCATGGCCTGGAATTTGTTATATAGACCAGGCTGACCTTGAACTCAAAAATATACCTGCCTCTGCTTCTGAGTCTCATGTGCTAGGAACAAAGGTGTGAGCCTCTTAGCCCCACCCCCATACAAAAGCAGTTTAATTTTTAAAACTGCATGATCAATCTCCAACACATTAAGAAGCATGTAATATGCATCTGTTTCATAAAAGGTAATAAGGAATGCTGGCAGCCTTACCTACTGAGGTCAAATTTTCATAGTTCTCCAGCATCACCTCTCTGTATAGGTTCCTCTGAGTCAGGTCCAGTAAAGTCCACTCATCTGGGGTGAACTCCACAGTCACATCATCGAAGGTCACTGCATCCTAAACCGTTACACATATGTTGGTTTGAGCCAATTAACAGTCTTGCTAGTACTCAATGGGAAATTAGGAAGGTGGGCCTAATACCTATACATGTTCTCAGATCAGCCTCAATCCAGCTGCAGGGTTCAATGGCCCCAGGAACTCTTCTCTCTAAACTCACTCTGTTGACCTTCTACTGCCACATGACTTTAGCAGCACTTCATAAGCACGATTTCTACCAGCACAACCAGGCTAGAAGCTCTCCTCGTCCTACTGTCTCACTGTAGCATATTCCCTAAATAAACTGTAGATGTCTAATAAGTAGACCTGAGAAAAGGGTGCTCTCACCTGCCTTATCATCTGTCAGAGCACTTAACAAAACAAAAAGCACGCAGTTATCATATGAGGCTCAAGATTAGTTAGTGGAGGCCTATGACTGTAATTCCCAATACTGGGGAGGAAGGTTGAGACCAGCCAGAATTATACAGTGAGTTAAAGGTTAGACTATATAGCTAGACCCTATATAAAACAAACAAACAAACAAAAACATTACCTAGTGGAATTGGGGATATAGCTCAATGGTAAAGCAAAATGGTAAAGCCTAGCATGGGCAAAAAGGCTCTGGTTCAATCCCAGCCAAGCAAACGCATTAAGTAGCAATTACGGAAATGCTAGGATGATCTGCAAAGATCACCAATATAAGGCTCTCGGTTCACCAGGGAAATTCAACCAGACACTCTTCACCCCCTAGGGAGAATGCATTTCCTTTAAAGGCCTGGAGGTTGAGTCTGTTTAGATTCTAGACTCTAGAAGGAAATGCATCTAGATCATGAATGAAAAAGTTTTTTGGTATAATGATATCCTTTCTTTTTACCTGGTAACAATCTGCCTGGTTGTCAGTCACTGTCCCTTCTACTTCTGTGTTTTCTTCATAGATGTAGATAGGCTCTCTAGAAAGAAGGCCTGATAGGAAAGAAAGAGGGCATCAAATCCCAGAGCCATGAAGTCATTCCACTGTAGTGTGACATTCCCGTCACCTTTACACTCATCAAACCACATAAATACATTTCTATCAAGAAATGCCATAGCATTTACATCTCCCCTGGATCCAGGGGGACAGGCTAGGAACTGTGCTACCTGATGAAAAGGGAGCGTTCTCACTGTATAGATGAAGAAACTTAAGGAGTGAAAAATGCTGACTCTGGGGCTGATGAGACGGCACCATCAGGTTAATTTGAGTACTGAGACCTGATGCTCATGATGCCCAGAGTTTGTGAAGTAGAAAACTGACTCCCAAAAAAGACCTCTGACTTCCACATGTACCCTCACTCACACAAATACATACATACAATAATAATAAGAATTAAAATAAACAATGAAAAACATGGCTCTACATTGCCCCTGGTGACAAAACTCATGACAATTATACAGCACCTCTTCTGAAAGCATACACACAGGGCCCTAATTCACAGAGCACCATTCATTATGTGGCCCATTTCAGCTCTTTGTAAATGAACACGCAACTACTGAAGCCCTACCCACTGGACTTTGCTGTGCAGGAGAGACCTAAAACAGTCTAAAAAAGAGCTTCAACAAGGACTTACCATGGGACAAATCAATGGCTGCCATCCCGTGATGCTGATGGTGAAATGTGCCTGAACACTCCCTTCCCTGATGCCAAGATCACTTCGGGACAGCTTATGAATCTAAGTGGGCAGAGGCAATCTCCATTCCTCTTAATACAGGGTTATATGGAGTCCTGTTCACATCAATCATTAATCAACAACATCGAACGTCAGTCAGCAAACATCACACAGTAGTGCTCACTCTCTGCAGATAATATACGTGAAACCCACTGGCAAACATCTACTCGCTAACAATAGCCATACACATACTGATTAACATTCACTAGTTTTGTCAGAAGTTGTACTAGTGCCTTTCATATATAAGCTCACACTATCATAACCATCCTACACAGTAGTTACATTACCCACACTAAAAACCCATATCCAGGCTAGTGTTACCCTGTCTGGAAATGAACTGAGATTTGATTAAGCTGAGTTTGTACAGAAAGCTTGATTTTCTATAACTGCTACTGCTCCCTAACATGACAAAACATGGACCCACCACAGCACTATTCAAGATTTACTAGTTCCACATGTAAATGACTACTTCACATGTATATATTATGACGTAATTTTAAAAACTAAAATTGAAAGTTTTAAAAATCAACATGACTGTTATTTGACAACTCTAAGTATGTCTAGCACAAGGCCCAATGTCACATGCTTAACACTAGCACTTAAGAGGCCAAGGCAGGAGACTGTAAGTTAGAGCCTCAACCACATAAAGACACCCAACTCTAAGAAACAAACAAAAATCAATAAAAAAAAAAAAACATGCCCTTAATCTCAGCACTCGGGAGGCAGAGGTAGGCAGATCTCTGTGAGTTTAAGGCCAGCCTGGTCTACAGAGAGAGTTCCTGGACAGCACAGCTATACAGAGAAACCCCGTCTCAGAAAACAAAACATAGAAAAAAAAAAAAGCTATTTACTTTATCTTTTCTCTTTTTAAAGGACTGTATCTCACATACTATGTTATAAGGGCTGGCCTTGAACTGACCATGTAACTGAGGATGGCTTTGAACTGCTACTTGTCTCACAACTACTAGGATTGCAGATGTGTTCCACCATGGTGCTGGAATAGAACTCAGGGCCTTGTGTACACTAGCCAAGCACTCTGCCACGGGGCTACATCCCCAGCCTTGTGTCTGTGACTATGAACTGTATCCAAGGCCTCATATAAGCTAAACACACACCAATCTACACCTCCAGGATCTGAATTTTTTAAAACTACTAATCTCATTTATTATAATAAGATAAATCAAAAGTCTGGAAAAGAACTTAAGCATCTGAATTTTTTATTATGTACTAAAATGGTATTTTCAATATACGGGTTAAAATAAAAACATTACAAATAATCTTACCTCTTCTATTTCATTTACTGTAGGTACTGGAAGTTTATTTCAGGTCTGGCTTATTCTTTAATTCTTTCAGCAAATTATTAGGAAGTCCTATTCCTGTGGTAGGCATGAGCAGAGCAGGGAAGGACACAGAAAATATCCTGTTCTGTAAAGATCTAGAAGTCCTATGGGGAAATATAATCATAACAAAAGAACTGATATATTACTTCATAAGGGCTACAGGGAAAATCAGGCAGGTAAGGAGAGTCCTACATATACACACCCAGGAAGCACAAAACTGAAAACTCTTTTGGGACAAGATGGCAACAAAAAAGGAAACTAACACTGTCTAGATCATCTTTGACCAAGAGATTAGAATAAGAATTGATAGGGATTTTTTTTAAGGAACTGAGGGCTAGAGAGACAGTTAAGTGTCTTAAAAGCACTGGCTGCTCTTCTAGAAGACGTGGGTTCAATTCCCAGCACCCACATGGCAGCTCACACGGTCTTGTTACTCCAGTTCTGGGGAATCCAACACCCTCTGAGGACACCAGACATAAAAATAGTGTACACAGACAAAACACCCATTCGTATAAAATAATAATTTTAAATGTTCTTAAAAACCAAACAAACAAAAACTGGTAAGAGAGTTCAGTAGTCAGTATAGTGCTTGTCATGCAAGCATGAAGACCTGGGTTCTCACATCAGTACCCATGGAAAAATATGGACACGTAATCCCAGTGTTGGGGAGGCAAAGACAGGACGATCCTTGGAGCCCACTGCCTACTCCCATCAAAATAGAATTCTGGGTTCAACGAGAGATCCTGTCTCAAAATATAAGGTGGACAGTAAATGGAGAGATGGCTGAGCAGTAAGAGCACTTACTGCTTTTGCAGGACCTGAGTTCAATTCCCAGCATCCACATCCAGCAGCACACACTGCCTGTTAACTCCATCCAGTCTGCCTCCAAGTGTACCCCCACACATACACCAGACAAAAACATATAAATAATAAAACTAAATATCTGAAAAATAAAGAGTGATTGCAGAACACATCCAACATTTGCCTCTGGCCTCTATACACACACACCATACACACGCACAAACTCAGAGCACATTTCAAGTACTAGGGTCTTGGTTGGAAACACTAGAATCATACATAAATGCCCTTTCCTCTTCATATTGGCACAGGGTCAAGGAATGGTCAGAGTCTGCCCAGCTCTTTAATATACAATACCTTCTTAAATAAAGAGCACCAGGTGTTTTAAAAACAAAAAATATCAAGTTTCTTTGTCTTTTTTGTCTCTCTTTATCCAACCTGGTTCCCAGCAGGAAGACCTGATTGACCTTGAACTCACAGTCTTGCCTCTACCCTCTAAGTGTTGGCATTACCGTCAAAGTTCTTCTTTTTATAATGCTGGGGACAGAACCCAGAGCCTTGAGAATAATAGGCAAATGCTAAACCACTGAAGCTGTATCCCCAGGCAGAGATTGACTTTTTTGTTTTCACTTCAACAATTTCCTTCATTTTTCTTTTATTGTTACCTTGAAACATATAAAGACTGGCCCCTTTAAAAAAAAAATATATATATATATGTGAAAACCAGGTATGATGGGGGAGGCTTTGTAAACCCAACACTTTCAAGACAGAAGCAAGAAGACTTCAAAGCCAGCCGAGCAAAATAGTAATAATTATCTTAAAAAGACAAACAAACAAACAAAAAAAGACTTGTAATCCCAGCTACTGGGTGGGGCAGCTGAAGCAAAATGATGGATTGAAAACTCAAAGCTAGCTTCATCTATAGAATGAGTTCAAGGTCAGCCTGGAAAAGTCAGAGGGATCCTGTCTCAAAAAGATAAAAAAGGGCTAAGGATGTAGCTCAGTGACAGAACACATGCTTAGGGTATGTCACACCCTAGTTCAGTTCCCAGTATCAACCCCCCACAGACATAAATAAGAAAGGCCCAGTGAGATGGCTGGTCAGACAAAGGTTCAAACTGCTGAGCCTGAAGACTTGAGTCCTATCTATCCCCATGTCCCATGCTAGGATGAGGGACCTGAGTCCTGAAAGTTGTCCTCTGACTGCCCATGCACACTGTGGCATACATTCTCACCTCACAAATAAGATTTCATAAATTCAATAGAATACCAGCCTAACTGTGCTCTACAGTGTTCTAATGTAAACGTCCCATAGCTCATTATTCACCAATAAAATTCACCCTCACAAAATCCCTATGCTGCTTACTCTATAGTTGATGAATCCCAAATGCTGGACTAAATAATGTACTAAAAATCACATTTATACTCCAAGGACAAAGAGAGTCCACTAAGACTATCCCTAGAATCTTGTCCTTCTGGTCCCTTGCAAACCCATGCTGGGGCCTCTCATATAACACTCCTTACAGTGGGACAGACATTCAGTAAAATCACATGAATCACAAATTATCTGTGGCTGACTGTCTTTGGAAGGTCAAACAGATGCTACTTTAACTTCCAGCAGCAGTCACTTGTTTACTTTCCAGCCAATGCTGGGATAGAACTTAAGGGCTCACACATTATAGCTATGTACTTTCCCACATTATCCCCAATCATGATGGTATCTTTTGTAGAGTTATTGTCTTACTCTACAGCCCAAGCTGGTCTTAAACTTACAGCAATTCTCCTGTCTCAGCTTTACAATGGAGTGTGTTTAAAAAAGAAAAAAAAAAAAAAAAGGATCTGTGAAATGACTCACTAGGTAAAGGTAGTTGCCGTCTAGCCTGACAACTTGAGTTTGATTCCCAGACCCTACATAATAAAGAAAAGACAGCCAACTTCTCCAAATTGTCCTCTGGCCTAAATGTATATGTCATGGCGTGCAGATACCCCACTACACACACAAAATAAATAAATGGAAAAAATGAATGTTCTAAGTCTGCAAAGTTTAAAAAACAGCACTTGTATTTACTTATGTAAGTGGCTGTACTCACCTGTGCAGGCACATGTGGGAGCCAGAGACTGATGTCTGGTGTCTTTCTGTGCGGCTCTTACTTTTCCAGATAGTATCTCTTACCGAATTTGGGGATTCCTGTTTAGACTAGACTGGCAGGTTTCTGGCTCCAGGAATCTAACACTCTCCACACTCATCTAGTACTGGAGTTACAGGCCTACACAACCACACCCAACTTTTTTTAAACATGGGTACTAGGGACTCAAACCCACCCACATTCCCTTTTTTATTTATTTTTATTTTGTGTGCATTGGTGTTTTGCCTGCATATGTATCTGTGTGAGGGTGTCAGATCTTGGAGTTATAGACAGTTAGCTGCCACGTGGGTGCTGGGAATTGAACCCAGGTTCTTTGGAAGAGTCAGTGCTCTTAACCTCTGAGCCATCTCTCCAGCCCCAGGAGGTCATTTTTCTTATGAACTTTCAAAATCACTTGCTGCTGTCACTAGACTCACAACTATTACAAAACCCAGGGACAATCTACCGTACAAAGCCAATACCCCACACAATAGAACCGTAAGATAGAAATACAGGTCTTGATGCACCATGTCATACAACACATCCATTGGACACACTAACCACAACTAACTGATAAGATAGCCAGCGGAGGGTGTGGGTATGAGTATGTGTATGTGACTGTATGCAAATGCATGTGCACGCCGGCGTTGGTGGCGCACACCTTTAATTCTGGCAGAGGCAGGCGGATCTCTGTGAGTTCAAGACCAGCCTGGTCTACCAAGTGAGTTCCAGGACAGCCTCCAAAGCTACAGAGAAACCTGTCTGGGGGGGGGAATGTGCCCACACAGAGGCCAAAGGATGAAAAGATGGCCTTTGACCTCCATATACACAAACACTCATGCATACCCACAAAATAAGAAAGTCAACCTTACTAATGAGTGAGTTCTAGGTTAGCCTGGGATATATGAGACCCTGCCTCCAAAAAAATTAAATTCTGTATCCTTAATAAATCCTTAATTATTTTTCCCAGGACTACCTAACAACAAATTAAAAGAAAAAATTACTGGGTCAGCAATACAGCTCAGTAAATAAGACAGACAACCCGAGTTAATCCCTGGACCCACAGTAGGAGAAAACTAAAGGTAGTGTGTATATACCCACTGTCAGACATATATATATCAGAGAGAGGGACACTCACACAACTTTTGGGAGCTGAGACAGGGTAGCCTTAGCTGGCCTGGTACTCACTACATGGACCAGTTTGACTTCCAACTCATAGATCTACCTGCCTCTGTTTCTTGTCCCCAAGTGCATGGATTAAAGGCCATCATGCCTGGCATAAACTAATATTTTTTGAAGAAAGATTTACTTTGGTCAGTCTGAGGGATCAGCACAGAGGTGCTTGGTGCACATGTTTGGGCAGAGCATCACTGCGGCAGGTTTTTTCTAAAATGGCAGGCAGGAAGTAGAGCAACACAATAATAAGAAGCTAAAACACCAACCCCCAAGAAAATGCTCATGGGCCTTTCTTCAGTCAAGTCCCATTCTGTTCAATAGCTTATGCAAACTCTGAATCTATCAATGAATCAAATCATTAAGCTAAAGCCCTCATAATCTAATCCTTTCCAGAACCACCCTCACAGAAATACCCAGAGCTGTGCTCATTAATCAACTAGATATTGCTCAATCCAACAGTTAAGAGTCTCCCTTCAACTTTTCCTATATATAGTAGCACATAAGGGATTTATGTTTGGCTTTATTTCCCTTAATACAACATCCACCATTTTCATCCATGTTGCCACAAATGACAGAATTTTCTTCATTTTAAACCAGTCTACAGTTTTAGCCAGGTGGTGATGGGGGAAGTCCTGTGTATATGTCAATAAAGCACTGTTGGCCAATAGGGAACCAAGATAGGTGGGACTAGGAGTCCAGGAGGACTCTGGGAAGGAGAAACACAGAGAGTCAAGATGTAACGCCATGGGGTAGGAAGCCCGGAAACCTCTCCGGTAAGAGAAATAGTTAGATTAGCAATTATGGGATAAATACTTAAGTCAGAGATAGCCAGTAAGGAACAAGCAAGGCCAACAGCTTCATAATTAATACAGCGTCTTGTGTGTTATTTGGGGACTACAACACGGCAGAGCCCAGGCAACTGGCGGGTGATAAACCAAAGCGGCTAGCAAGGAAAAGGCTTCCCTTTTCAAGGTAGTGGTGGTACACGCCTTTAATCCCAGCAC